AGTCAAAGAAGCCAGATAACTAGTCCAACATGAGGGCTGTACAGTTTTTATTAAGCTACTTTGCTACATTCTTTAATAAACACATTTTATCTATGTGCAAAACATAACTCAAATGGATGTGTGAAACTTACGCTGGAAAAACTGCTTAATAATAACTTAACTTGGGATGAAACCGAATTGTTGGGAGTGTTTTACTACTAACTGATGGCTTCGCAACTACTCTTAAAAACCGTCGCCGAATAAAGGTGGTGTAGAATATTTCCACCACTGAAGTCAAACTGAACCCAGTAAAAAATCCCAAAATCCCTCCATAATTTCCTGAAAAAACACCTACTAACATCTGGGAAAACATTTCATAAATAAACTACCCATCAGAGAATGCCACGGAAATGAGACATCTCTTCGATATTTTATTCCCAGTAGGTCGCTGAAGAATATCCGAATGATTGTTTGATTTTCCATATGTAAATTAGAACTGAAACACACAGAAAATCAATTATTATCCCATTAAAAACTTTGGTGCTGCACACGTACAAAATCATAGATGGATTAGTTGTGAATGAAGCATCGAGTATTCCTCTTGAAGTCTCTAGTGGGTAGGTAAAGTCTTCGCAATTATTCGGACAATTACACTTATCATCCTGGAACAACTCAGCATGCTTTAGATGAGTTATGTTGAAAATTGCGTCTACAAGTTATATAAAGTTTTCCTTATTCGTTTGCTGCTGGGATTGGCGTTGTTGAGTCACCTCTATTGTGGTTTAGGCATGAAAGGTCTTCCAGGCCACACACTTTTAACGAACCATAAGAATCTAAAACGATCGTTCTTTCAAGTTAACACAAAACTAAATACATCAACTTACATGATTGACTGTGCAGGTCAAAAGGAACACACTTACAAACTTTCAGAGTCATCGCCAGTCGGCATTCCATTAAACAGCCTCTTCTGGTGTACCTTTGGAACATATTCAGCTTCTTTTCCGATGGAAACAAACATTTTCGGTTCCGCACAGGCATTGATTTCAGTCGCTCAGTAGCAGTTATCATCTCCGGGTTGATGCCCAGCAAGTTGTTCGTATTCATTTCGAAAATATGGCTTGGTAATGATAAGTCAGGAAACTTATAAGGATGATGAATCAGCACCTGGAATATATTTTGAATAACTGAAATTGTGCTATCAAATTCACCAGTTTTGCCAAATTAATGGCTGTAAACTGATGGTTACTGGCAGTTACAAATCTTTATATTTTTCACGAATATAAAAACAAATAAAGATACTGTTGATCTTTAAGCCTCCTCAACGTAACAATATTTTTAAAGGCGTAAATATTATAATTTTTGTACCAAAAACTCGAAACATGGGGCTTATTAATAACGTTTTGATAAGAGATCCAACGAATTCACAAATGTATAAATGAACTGAGACCGAAATGTTATGGCTCCAATCATTTCCAATTTTGTTGGAGAAGATGATATCAAGTTAAGATAGCAGGGTTCTTCTTTAGCTTCAAAAAACTGAGTTCTTCAAGAAACTGCAGGTTTGGTTGGCATTTCTGATACTCTAAAAATTCATTTTCCGACAAAACATTTTTGTTTCCATGATCGGAAAAATTTTGATCGTTGCTGAGCTCATTTTGAGCTAGAGAAGGTTTATGATATTGAAACTGCAGCTTTCCTAGTCGAGAGCTCTGTTACTTTAGATAATCTCTGATATTTTCAAGGTGCATTTGAGAGATAAAGTTCGTTTCTTTCTAGTTTGGGAAAATTTGTGAAAAATTATTTACTCCTTTAAGTAAGTCAGCAAATTCTCATGTCTTGCCATATTAATGTAAAACTTTACTTTGCTTCATTACGTGTGTCACCTTTCCTCTGTTTAAAATGTTATCCATTTAATAATATCTGTAATTTGCAAATAAACTTACCTTGACTCCTACTGAAGGTATTTCACTAGCAAAATAATCCGCAGGGTTGTTATTGATTACTAATTCCAGTCCACTCTGGAATCCATTCATGGCAGTTTTCCATGGATATCTGTCCGTTATTATTTCTCTTCTGCAAAATAGCAATTAATGGAAATTTTTCCATTATTACCACGCTCACTTGTCATGGGTCCTATTTTTTAGGGCAAAGTAGTTGAAGGCGCAACAATAACCGATAGAACTCTTAATCCTGCGAACAATTGCCTGACAAGTTCTTGTTTCCCCCTTCCAATCACATCGTTTGATTAGATCATCGCATGTGGGAGTTATCTGTTCTAATACCTTGATTTTAAAGAAATTGGTTTGGCTTTGCTCAGATTAAGAACAGAAAGTTTCAAACCTGTTCTTCGGTTTTTCCAGTGCGATGCAAAACTTCTGTTAAAAGTTCATAGTCTTTCCTTGGCAAGTTCAATTTATCCTGACTCACCAGGTAATAAAGGAGCTTTAAGGAATTGACCACTGATTCTCTTTTAGTCAAGTTATCCTCTGATCTGTAAAATTTGGGAAAACTATTACAATTTTAATTTGAAAGCTTCTAGAATAACAATTTCTCAGCTCATTCAATCCTCATATTTCTTGTGGTTTACGCACAGTTCATCAGCCATTCGGTACGCTGCCTGTTTGGAAATCTTATTAAAATTGCAGACTGTAACTGCCGGAAATAAAAAACGATAAATATCTCCTTGGACTGTTTCCATGACCGTTTTTGTCTGATTGGCTTCGTATTTAATCCAAGCCAAAGTCATGAAATATATCGCGATGAACATGGCCGTTGAGCAAGTAACCAGCCAGATATACCTGAAAACACATCAACAGATGATTTTTTAGGATTTTTGTAGAATCTACCTAATAAAGGCAGGTGGCTTGGAAGAAACCACATATTTCCAGCCATGCAAACTGGTGGTTTTGCAAAACTCCTTTAAACGCCCTAAAACGATTTTTCCAACTTCGAAAAGCCGCATCTTTGGAGCTAGTTCACTGTGCTAGCTGACCAACCCAAATGCAAGCCTTGAGAGTGATGTGGAAAAATGCGTTTTATCGAAATTCACATGAGTTTATTATTTAATTATTTATTGCTGCAATAAATGGGAAAATCACGCTAAACAACCCTCAAATTGCCCTCATCATCATTTGCGTTAGCACTTCAATTAGTCGACACACTTGTTCTATGGAAATTGTTAATATTTTTATTGCCTTAAGGGTTAAATGGGGTAAAAAATAAACATTTATTTTGTCCATATACTTTGGACATGTAAAAGTCGATAAAAATCTACTCTATCAGTTACAATGTTATCACAAATTATGTTCCACTCTTAATGGGTAAGGCTTCCAGTAGCATAATGGGGTTAAAGTGACTTCAGAAAGTCCTTTCCTCCAGTATATCCATAGGATTCAATTTCTTCCAGAAGATCCTCATTATTGCTAACCGTGGAAAGCCATTCATTGTATCGATAGTCTTTGTGAATTCCTCCATACCTGCAACAGTCAGTTTATTTTACCGATCTGCTATAGAATTGAGTCTCACTCACCTTTTAGGCAAGTACTTTGGAAGGACCCATTTGTGAAGACTGTCCAGATCCGAATGGATAATTATTTTTTGCCTCACATACTCAGGCAGAAGAGGCTTGAGCAGGCCGAAAGCATAATCGAAGAGTTTCGATCCGTTCACTATGTGAACTGCTTCAATGCGATGAGGAAGTGAACTCTGGGTGCAAAAAAGAGGAAAAATGGTGAACAAAATCAGCCATTGCAATGCGAAAAACTTACGTATCCTACTGCTACCATACTTTTCGCAATTTTCGGCGTCAAATACCAGGCATGTCCGGCGCCCAGATTATTCACGTCGATTATACAAATTCCTCCTAAGATTTGATGTTTCGGTTCCAGAATGGCAGCATTTATCAGGAAGATTATGGCTTGGAATAGTTCATCAGGGGTGAATTGTGATGTGTTCCAATTTTCTGTTATTCAAAGGTAACTTGTTAAAAATGCATCTTTCACAGAGAAGCCAAATCAAAATAACATATATCTAGCGTACTGGTACAAACCCATTAAGTAAATGGTACCTGTCTAGTAAAAGTAGGTTCTATAAAGCGCACGTATAATAAATCAAAGGGATTGCGATCTTCAATCCCAGGTGCCAGTTGAAGTACTTAATCAGAAGCGGTTAGCTTGGGTTTTCTAGAGGAAATTTGCCACTCTCCTGAGCAATAAATTTGTTTTTTTTTAATTGTATTGATCGATATCTGCGCATATAACGAAAGCTTGATCTTGCATAAAAAGTCTTCTGGTCGTAGCTTATTCATTGATTGCTTAAGATAGAATAATTCATATGCGGCGGATTTCGCTTCACAAAATACGCAATTTCTTACCTATTCTGAAATAGAGCAATCGCCTGCCGTTTTGATCCACATATGGAGGAACTGTGAATATTTCAGCTTCTCCTAATTCCAGCAACTTGCTGTAGTCTATGTTGGAAAAGTAGGTTGGGTTTGTTTCTCTAAACGTGTAATAATTCACCATCTAAAATATGTAATTTTAAGCTTACATAGTGATTTAGTAAGATTTTTCTCACCAATCGGTGAGCCATTCTGACAATGAAATGGCGAGCCCTCAAAAAGCGGAGAAGAAAGGCATCATCCATTCGATGTGGTTCACATTCTCCTCTTTCTAAATGTATAACAATGGGCAATAGAAAATTTGTCTACTAGTCCAATCGATGTTGGTTACCAAAAATCATATCTTTTAACTCCTCAATCAGTTCGATTTTATTGTTTGGATCTTCGGCGATATTCCTTTCAGCCCATTTCAAAATCGGATCATCAAGATCAGGTTCTTTCAGATTTATTTGGGGCGATAACTCCACATCGTTTTCATTTAACTCCTCAATGGCATGGAGATTTTGCACCACTGTACTTTTGATCTGCTCCATTTCTGAAACTTTCAAAACAGATTGGCTGAATTGAGCAAGAGCTTTGAAATATTCTGTATATTTTTTATTGGTTCTTTTGTTGGAAAAACATGCTTTCAGCTACCGCGTGTTTGTCGTGGTTCACACCATAAAATCAGCTTCAGTTATACTTTAACTTGAGCAACTTTGTCGCAGTAAATGTTCTTTTACATGAGTTCAAAAAATCGCCAATTCGCTAAATTTAGGAAAAGGCTAACAATGCGTTTTATGGGAATATTCAATTACTGGCACATACAAATTATCCGCAAAAATATATAATATGTTATTAAATTTGATAATAGACATTGTTATGTTGCTGTTTCGTTTTAGGAGAAAACACTGTTATTAAAAAGTAATTAAAATCTATTTGTTTAATGCAGGATTTTTGCTTTGCCCTCAGAAGATTCTATTTAAGACAATCAATTTGAAATCCTCAAGATTCTTTCAATTTTAAGTGCATAAAATATATTAAAAAGGATCGATAAAATAAGAAGCAAATGCCAAAGCAAATTAGATGAAAAGCTCCTGAAGTCAAGCAAAGTATCAACATTGCATTGCGTGCTTACCTTGCTTAAAAACTTGGAACAAACAAATACTAAATGCACACGAAATTTGAATGCAGGAAACAATATAAATGAGCAACAATTTAGCTATTTGCATGAAATGCACGATTAAATAATTAAGTGGGTTTTCCTTAACACGCGCAAAAGCTACTTATCGTTCAAATGAGTCAAATCTATTCCAAACTCCTAAACCAAAATTGGACTATGATAAAACAAATTAATTACCGCTAATTTTGTCATTTTTCGCATCATTTTACTCAATTGCATTGTTCGATATTTTCTTTAATGACCCAAACTGAGACAGTTTTATTCCATAAACATGACTTGTAACGTTTGAAATTGCTGATAATAAGCATGAACTAGAATTGACACAATAAGCTACTTAAAATGGTTGTTGGTCTACAGTAGCAATTAGCAACAAAGAAGCTTTTAGTAATTAAAACTAAACTGAATAAAAGCAATAGAATTACAACCTTTTCACAAGCTAATTATTTGATACCCAGGGCAGAAAAATAAATGAACTTTTAGCTCTATCAGCTCTATCAATTTATCAAACACTTAACCAGATTCTGGCCATTCCTTGTCGTTGTGTAAGATGAATGAATAGCAAGTCGCGTTATTCAACTAGGAAGTCTTGAGCTTAAAAGGATATTAGAAAGTGCATCTATTGGAAAATGAACTACGAGTTAAATAATAACAAACCTGATCGGCATTAATTTGGAACATTTTCCTCGGCCTAATTTGAATTTAAGCATTGAATTTCACTTACATGGACGAAGCTGGCGACTGCTGAAAATACTAATTTATTGCCTCATTCCTTCGTATACATTTATCTAGTTAGACCTTGGTTATTGGCATAGATTCAGCAAGTAATGCAAATTGATAGAATTACTTGAATTGGTAGTACCCCGATTTTTGCATAATGCAATTTGCAAAGTTAAACGAAGAAAAACCATCCTTTCAAACATCATTAAATAAACCTTCTACATCTGCTCCTTTATACAGTCCTACCCTGTTGCTCTTGACTCTTCACCTCTTATGCAATGCTTTCTTTATACGATAACAAGCTTATGGCAAATTCAATAAATGCCGGCGTTAGATGAGGAAGTTGATTGCATTAGAAAGTACCGCCCGTATGCCTTTTATTTTTCAGTCAAGGCGCACATTTATGTAATGTAACTTGCTTTACGATATGCACGCTCCTCAGTAAAAGGAGAAATGGGATCCTTATAGTGCTAGTTTTCTCCCCATTAAATCAGCATACAAAACTGTTGACAAAGCATTAGCACAACTAATTATTTACGTACCCATGAAAATGAACAAGAGACAATGCTTTTCACGCTGTTGCATCTGGCCTGCATAATTACTTAACTGAAACTAAACAATAAACGCAATCTGATTGTTATAATTAAAATTATGAAATTTTTACAGCAGAAGTGTGTAAAAATATGAAGAAAAATATCTACATTACAAAAACATTTAACCAGTTTAATGCCCCTGAAAGCACCCAGGTTCGTTTGCAAAAACCGGAATTATTTCATCTGCAATGAGAAAACGATGCGTTTTTGTATTAAAAGTCGAATTACAACCGCATTGCGATGTGTTAAGTGGAAACCTGAAAATTCTGCTAATTACTCCTAGGGATAATGAGGTTTTTTATGATTGAATTAATTAATTAAACCATTAGAAAATTAGCAACGATTTTAATTGTGTGACTGAATTTTTAATTATCATTAACTCTTCAAATTGATCGTTAAACTTTATTTAAGGATTTATGGTCGTTCATAACATTTATTACGTGCAACTACAATAATAGGTGTGTTCTAGATGGGAAAATGCTAAAAAACGTAAAGCGTAAACTTCAGTAGATTTTGTTCAGATTGTGCAAGATAATGCTTCAAATAACTCAATTCTTCCTAACAAAACGAAATGTGCTTTTTCTGGCAGTGCCTAGAGATAAATCCACTCTATCGTTTCCATGCTATTGTCAGGAATTTAGAAAATTATCGCAATTTCCTCAAGACTAGACTCAAATCAATTATGCAAGCGTTTCGACAATAATTAATTTCTCCCAAACCCCAACAGCTCGAAAATTGCTCTATTTTGCGTTGTCTAGAGAAAAGTTCGCTCTATAAACGCTGGAAGTTTCGTTTCCATGCTATTATGAAGGATTTGAACAAAATGATCAAATTTCCTTTAATCCTGAATTCCTAAACAATTATGCAGGCGTTTCGGCAATAATTAATTTCTCCTAAAATTCAGAGGTTCAACATCTAATGTTTTTCAACACAAAATTGCCTGTTTAAACTTAGAAGAACAAAACAATTAAATAGAATTTTAATGAACAATTTATTGTGGATGTTGCGCTACGGCTGCCCAATTATCTTCGTTGTTCATTTGGCACCGGCAGCCTTGATATTTATAAACAAGAAGTGATTGTATTTAAAAAAGTATTTCCTAGAATGATTGATCTTGAAGACCTTGATTACTTTACATTAGTATTTTGCGCGTTTTCTACCCTAATATTTTAGTAAATAACAGACGTGATAGAAATATTTCTAGCGAAAGAAGGAAGCAACAAAAAGATTCGGGTTTTAATGGAAAAATGGCTCACTTATTAATTGCGCTTTTAAAATTGTTAATCTTGGCAACTAAAACTATACTTTAAAGAACTTTAGACTGGAAAGAACTTTAGTCTTTTAAGAAAATTAGCCTGGAGATATTTTAAACTCAAGAGCCCTGTTGACAAATTTTCAATCTACATCACGTACATTTTTGGGTCAAAAGAATAGAGATAAACCATGGCTTGTACAGTCATTCGCTACAGTAACAGTGGCACTAATTCAAAGCGTTATTTTATTATATTCATGTAATGAAAACAAGGTCAAATGTTATCAAGTGAATTGTTACGCTTTGAAACGCTTTGTTGCTAATAAAGTGCCTTTGGCGAAACTCACATAAACTTCCAAAGTTTCGTTTCTCCTCGGCTTGAACTGCTTCAGGCGAAAACAAACTTACTGAAGAACATTCTTATCCACTGTCCCATAAAAAAAATTATTTAAAAAAACAGCATCAATTTTCACCTACCTTAAAGGAGCACAAAATTCAAACACGGTTAAATCCTACAAGACACAGCACTTTAATAAATAAAAAGTATCAATCAGAGCTCAAAATCTAATCACTTATTCCGATTGCTTGTTCACATACACAAGTGTTGTTGAGAATTAAAATTGCCGCGCTTACTTACTTAAGGTTTCGTTATCGAGAGTGGTACAACAATTTACGTTTTCAACAACACTCGATGCAATCATTTAAACAATGAGGAGCTTTTGTTGCAAAAGACATTCTTTTGTTACTTATTCATTAGGCGGATATCAGCAAGGTGATTTATTAGCATCCAATATTGAGATCAGGAGTAGATGACAAACGATCTCCAAACCAAAATTTTTTCAGCCCACAAAATAAATTCGGCAATTAATTTTTATCAGGGACTAAAGACAGCCATGCCTTATTGGTTTTATGATAAATGGTTCAAGGGATTCAAATATTAGCTGAATGACTCAAAAAAATCTGGCAATATTCTAAGGCAATGGTTTCCAAATCAATTATGACTTTCCTAATCTGATACTATTTTCTCGCAAATCGTGTCAATATTGCTTTAATTGCCGACAATAATTATCATAGTTTAGTAAATTTCGTTGGGAATTGAGTATTGCACCAATGACCTAGTAAATTGTCGGCCTTCTGCTTGCCATTTTGCAATTTATTGCCCATTAAATGAAACTAAATCGTTCGTTATCAGGGAAATTAGCCTGGAGATGTTTCCATTACTAAACGGGGATATGATACTTTGATAGGCGATTAATTGACGGGATCGATGTTTCCTAAGCATCAAAGTTTCATCTTTATAAACCTTGCTTATAGCGCAACTTATTTCATCATTTTGTATTGTTTTGTATTTTTGTATTCTTTCTATTTCTATCATCAGCTCGGGAATTCTTCAGATCTTCACAACTACTTTATAATTTTAATCCATATTTAGGTATTAAGGTACAAACTATTGCCCTGCAACAGCTCACACGTAACGAAATCTTATCATTTTTCCAAGTTTATTCATGCAGGCTTTGCGGCCTTTATTCGATATTCAGATAAAAAAAAACGTAGCCTTTAACAATAGTGCTCTTTTCGCATCATCTTGACTTTCAAGAGGACAAAACGAGTTTCTCTTTCTTATTGTGGACACCCACATGTGCATAATTCAATTGCATTGCGATCAGACTCCCAACCCAAGCCCAAGTGAAATTAAATTAAATCAGATTATCTTACATAAGCATGGATTAAATTTATTGGTCGCACAGCATGGGATTTTTCGTTCTCGCATCATGCAAATTTTGAAATTATTTAATACTTGCAGTGCCCTCTATTAAAATGCGCTATTTGCTTATCCATCACCAATTTATCAAGATATGAATTTAATTGCTTTATGTATTTTTTTAATTTTCATTGTTGTTCTTTCTGAAATTACTCAGTCTTACTAATTTTAAACTACTAACTCACTAATGTAAGACTACAAGAGCAATGAAAACCGAAGTTTCTTCTGACTTCGTTATACAAAACTTACCAACTTTCGCCAAGTGTAAATGTATTCAGAAAGTAAATTTTGAAGAAATAAATGGTGAAACTAAGTCTCAAATAAATCAGTACTTTACGTTTTTATTAAAATATATTAAAAAAAATTACTTTTTTCTTCAATTTAGTTTGTTTTAATAGAGGACTTTCTTAGAATCTTGGATTTAAGTTTGTGCAGTATGTCTTGTAAATCGTCTGAAATTAAATTTTGGGTAACTGGATAATTGACTAAAATGTGTATTTTTCTTAAAGTTCAAATATAATTCATACACTTAACTGTCCGGAAAACTAGTCAAATCTTAGCGGTTCATTCTAGTCTTAAAAACACTGAAATTTTCTGCTTTTTGCAAACTTGTGGGCCGCCGCAGTTTTTAGCAGAACATTTATTTTCAAGACCAACCGTAAAACTTAATTAAAATTTGTTTAAAACTCGCATTTTGCATCGTCGGTTCATGTGACTCACTGCTTGATTTTTGTAAAACTATTATATAGCTTTTCTATGAAATAAGTATTAATTGTGAAGACTGAAGTTTAAATTTTGCAAAATATTTGCTGATTTTGAAACATTGTTGTTCCAAGAGATCCGATGCAATGGCAGTTTTCACTTCAATTGATGCTGATTTTTAGAGTAAAAAACATGAAAACGGTATGTAAATCGTTGAAAATTATTTGAATTCTTCCAAAAACTGTGAAGCATTTGGGAAAATGTTGAAGAAAATTAATGGCGTTAATAGTTTAACGAAAAATTGTATCAATATATTAACTTAGTTTTAAAAATAGAAAATTTGAAGTAAATATTCTGGTAAAATCTCGCAAATAAGCCTGAGATGGGAAAAACTTGGGACACATAATTGAACCCAGTGGTTAAAAAAACCAATAGGAAAAAATATAAAACCGGATTTATTAAATTAACCACTAAAACTAAATACAGTCCCATTGAGAAATTTCAAATAAACAATAAAAACTTTTTCTAATAATATACACTATAAAAACATTCCATTTCCAGAAATCCCATCAAAGTAGGTACAAACGAAAGTTGATTGCATACGGTTTGCGTTTAAAACAGACACATTTTACTAATATTCACTGTGAAGCGAACTTTCCGATTTCTCACTGTCGCTTTTGTATTCCTCATAGTCATTCTCATCTATTTTATAGCCCAGTGACCGAAGTTCTTCCTTAATTTCTTCACTTTTGCCGAAACCTTCTATCCACGGGGCGTAGCCGTAATCTGGATGTCTTCCACCATACCTGCAAAGATACAAAAAAAGCTCAGAATATTTTTTTTTTAATTTGCTACTCACTTTTCCGGCAAATGCTTCGGATCGATATGTTTGTGAAGACTCTCCATATCTTCTCCATGGAAGAACACTCGATCCTTCATGGCGCCATTTAGCAATGGATGAATCACTTTGTAAACCACATCGAATATCCACGGTTGGAACACGACGTGTATGGCGTAAATCTTCATGGGAAACGATGTCTAAAATACAAAAATTTTACCAAATGTTAGTTTAATATATAAAGAAAATTTATGAATAGCAATATATTTCTTAAATGCGAAACTGATGATGCAACAATTGCTCGCTCTTTAAATCAACAATCACTCATGCAGAGAAAGTCCATGATTTTATGATTTTCTGGTATGGCAGTTAACTATCAAATTGACCCTTTGGAGTTAATATATCATGCTTTCATAATGTTTCTTGCGTAAGCTTTTGTAGCTTTCTGGCATCTAGTTAGAATTTATTAGGTGTCCAATTAAGATGCATTATTGTCGTTTGGAACATGACGACTTCCTAGCAAAAAATGTGTTGTGAAGATATTTAAGATTAACATTAACCTAATCTGCTTACCAAATAAAGGGGAGTTTGGGTAAGATTATTTGACTTACCACCAAAATTTGCACGATCTTATGAGCCACACTGGGTGTCATATGGTAAGCCTGCTGTAGTGTTAAGTTCTGCATATCGAAAAATCCAATGCCCCCCAATATTTGAGCCCGGGGCTCCAAAATGGCCAGCTCCAGAATGGCCATGGTTGCCTGGAAGATGTTGGTGACCGAATATTTTTCCGTATCCCAATTGCCTGGAAGTTTCAAAGTCAAACGATGCAAATTCACTTGGAAAACTGCCAGCATTTAACTACCCATTCTATATAAAAGGATTCTTCTGCCATTCTGGTCTCGATAAGGTGGAACGGTAATAAGATCATCACAACCAATGCGTAAAAGACTTTTAAGGTTGACGCCATCGAAGAATTCAGGGTTGTCTTCTTTGAAGTTGTAGTAATTGACAAACTAAATTGTAAAAAAAGGGTTTATTCTTGTTTCTTGCACCACGATTTGCATTCATTCAATGAATCAACGATTTAGTTAATAAATGTTGTTGATCTTGAAAAACATTGATGAAGAAAACTGGTACCTACCAGTCTGTAGGCCGATTCCATATTAAACTTGCGACCTCGCAGGAACCTTAGCAGGAATTCATCGTCTGTCCGATGCGGAGTGCATTCCCCTCGAGCTACAATAACAATTCTCTTTCATTATTTTATAATAAAATTCTGGTAATTAAAATGAGGAAAGTGTAATAACTCAGTTAATGTTATTCGTGCATTGTATTGCAACTGCATGGTAGTTAGGGGGCTTTCATTTTACTGTTAAATATTATGAGATTTTCTTCAGAGAGAAAACGCTAAAAATATATCAGATTTCTGGGTATTTTTCGTCAGAGGAGCCCAATGTTGCCGATTAATGAATCCCGATTTTTTTAGTTCATCTCGTATCTGGAGGAATAATTAATGGGAAAGTGGTCAGAAATCTAGAAAAGGTTCGATAAAGTTGATTTTATTTAAAACTAAGGTCTTTCAGCGGAAATATTCCTTCGCATGTGTAAATTAGCATTGTAATTTCGCATAAAAGTGTTAAATTGAAAAAGGATTTTTAATGTTAGAGCAAGGTGTGTACAATGGATTGTTTAACGCAACAAATACCTTCTCGAAAGTAATTATCAAATAAAGAACATTCCTAAATTAAACATACTCATAAACTCTACATTTAAAGAAAATTAGAACTTAATTCAAGTATTTCGATTTACTTCCAGTGCTTCTACGTTTCATGTTCCTTTGTTTAACTTTAATTCTTTTTGTTACCTTTGCGATTTTCCCTTTCCAAAGATTAGAACAAATTTTTCCCGTTTTTAAGCAATCTAAAAATTTACTTTACCATAAATTATGTCGCGAAAATCTTCAATTATCAAACATCTTGTATCAGGATTCTCCCGAATGTTCTCCTTGGCCCATTCCATTAGCTCCTGCGGAGGTTCGCCTAAATCAAGCTCATAAGAAACATCTGGATCTGAGGGCATAATGACTGCAAACCAAAAAACAATTTCTGTAAATTTGTAATTATCGAAAATTTTTAACTGAGTGAAAGCAATTTGCAATTAATTGAATTGCTATTGCAACTATATTATGCATCGAAGTGCTATTATATAAAAACGCGATGCATTTTTCGCAGCGCCTTTCGCTAAACTTTTGCAACTTGCTCATTGTCCATAAAGGTAAAAACACAATCCACACGCTACTAATTGCCTATGAACTTCGCTAAACGAAACTATTGGCGATTTTCGATATCAAAAATGCAGGATTGTATTAATTTGCCGTTGTAAAAACTCCACTCATGAAAGTTTAGTTTTGGTGCCAAGATCAAGGTGGTTGTAGATGTGCATCGTAATTGGCAAATAATGTTGTCATGCTGCTTAAGCATATACCTATTGGGGCCGGCTTCTGTTGCCTAATTTCGATAATGTTGCGTTAAATGCAATTTAAGATTGAAACCAACGAAAAATTGTTGCAAAAAGCTGACATTTCATTTACAAAAAAAGTAAAAATAATGAACTTTTCATTGAAATTATTTTTTCATGGACAAATTTTCCCGAAAAAAATATTGGTGAGTACTTACACTTGACGTCTGGACTCAAAAGATTCCCCATAGCGAATCGCAACTAAATGGACAACAATGAACAAATTTTGCGACAATTAAACACATAAATGTCCTAAACACCGTCCGAGTGTGTATTTTCTTCAACTAGACCGTAACAGTTTGAACGGGTTCTTACGATGTAATAGTTGTTCCCCTCATTACTTCTTAAATGCATTATTGTTTGGTTTTCGGTCGAATGATTAAATTGTAATTTCCATCTAATACTGCGAAATATAGCAAATATTCTGAAAATCTCCCATTCACTAAAAAATCAACGGGGAGTGGCTGAAATCGACATAAATGCAATCTGATGCATTCGAACTGCTGGAAACGCGCAAACAAGAGTTGATGAATGTTATGCTGGAAGAGATTTCAATAAATCACTCATTAATTCAGTAGCTTAGATTTTTTGTCACTGCACTTTACCACAAGCTTTACAAGTTTGTAGATTCCCCTCTTATAAAAACGTTAAAAAACTTTCCCGTGCGTGAGGGACTAACCGAATTTTAAACAGCAATTTATTTTGCAAAATCTGGTAAAAGCCTAAAATTAATATGTTAACACATATATCACATAAGTAGTTCATAAATATCACTAATTACCACTCATACAAACAGTCTAGCGTGTAATGAATGACTGTCGCAATTTTGGTGACTTAAGTTCACTTATGCTAATAAGCCTTACATTAAGTCCGTTGTTGTTTTTCATTTTTAATTATGAATTTTTTACTATAATAAACTGTTATGTAAACAAAATAATTTTATCGCCTAAAACCAAAAAAAACTTTCAACCACAATTAATCATTACACTTAACTTCTGTTAATAGACAATTTCCTATTAGTTGACCAGGGCAGATAGTCGGGTATTCCCTGTACCTTTTAAGTTTCTGCTCATTTGTTAAATGGAATTTTCTAATTAACTTTTTAATTAATCCACAAATTACCCATGAATCTTTCTAGCATCAGTTAATAGCAATATTTATAAAAAAAATTGCATGTAAAACCAAGAACTTTGTACTTTCATCACTAAGCGATTATTCTTTTTACACGAAATTTATGCACAAAATATTGCCACGCAATCCTTGACCCTTGACTCTATTTGCTCAAATGCGCTGAAAAACCCGCAAAATTTACATCACATTTTAATTACCCACATAATTATAGGGAGAGCTGAAAATAGAAGATCCCGGAAAATACATCAGAAACGATTAAAAAAGAATCAACTGCGTTCAATTACACTCAAAACGCATATTGTGACAAGCAAACAACGCAAATTGATCAACAATTGCATGCGGACAGTTGAAACAGAACATTTTAAATATCTTTTGAATAAATGAACTTTTCTAACTGCCACAGAAGAACTGGAAATAAGGATAATGACAAATTAATTAATATTAATAAGGATAATGACAAATTTGGGGAAGATATTTTGACGCGATTGTTCAGACGCGAAACAAAACGAACTCACTAAAGTATCCAAAATTCCGATGCATGAATGTTCCAAATAAAGATGACATTTCTAATGTAAAGACGAAACTACTGAAGACTAGGATTTAAATAGTCTGAATATTTCAGAAAATGGTTTAAACTCGATGTATTGAGCTACGGAACCCACACGGCTGTTAAGACATGGAAAAATAGACTGACTTACGAACATATCTGAAAATTTATTTATTACACTACTTCCTACTATAAAAATTCTAGATTCCTCCTAGTTTTCATGGAAGAGACAAATTTTTAATTGGAGCATTATACTGTTCTTTTAGGAAATCTTTAAATTAGAAAATTTGCCAAAACTCCATTCTTTGTCCGGAGGAATTGATACTTTCTTCACCTGCGGCAGCATATATGCACTGTCTTTACTGAAAAACGCAAGCCCGATATGGTTTAAGTATGGAAAAAACAAATTTTTAAAAGAAGCAGCGTGGTACTTTTATAGTGGATCTTTTAAGCATTTTTAGCAGAGCATAGATGTGACTATGGCCTGCCTCTAGTAGAAATTTATAGATTGTGCCCGGTTTGGTAAGGAAGATACACATTTTTACATAGAGCAGTGTCTTGTTCAGTTAGATAATTTATCTCTACATCAGAATTTTGCAGAAAATTCTGATTTGACCGAATGAATTGGGACTTTCTTCACTCACGGCAACATGTTTTTGTTGAAAAACTAGCTTCAACTGTACTGAGTAAAAAAAATACATTTTAATAAAGATACTAAGTGTGCTACTCTATTGAAAAATGTATACTTTTACTTATTTGAAATGAATGTTTAGATTGAAGCTGGTCTTCCATAGAATATATGAATTTCTCTTGAATGAATGAGAAGATATGAAAAATCTCCTCATTTTCCCGATCCAACTGAAACTTTTACCACTCACGACAAACTCCATACTCTGTCGTCAGTATATAAATTAAATATCGGTCTGTAAAAAGACCAAGTTTCTTCATCTTTTAATTAAGTTTCTTTCATTAAAAAAAATCACTGAGTTTTTGAACAGAGTTTATCTTAAAATAAACAGATTAAAGAAGATGAAAAAGATGAAAGAGAACATTAAGAATTCAAAATTTGATTCAGTTGAATTTAAATCGAAAAATCGTATTCAACCACTTAGAACATTTTTTGCAATGTGCTGAAAATGAAAATTCTTTTACCATTAGGATGAGCAAATGGATGTTTAATAAAACTATAGCTAATAAGCTTTTCACATATTTTTCCTAAATATTAGCAAATATTTATAAAACATTTCTACACCATTATAAATTAAGTTTCCTATCATTATCTGTTAGCAAAACGTTTACCAAGCTGAAACAATCAATTTCCAACCAATGAGGCGTTACATGTTTTAGGATTGAACAGAATTTTAATAGATTTTACCAGGTTGTTTAGTATTTGGTACATGAATAAGAAATAGGCAAAGTACTGGTATCATAGAAAATGGCCTGGAACTTATAATCTTAATAAAGCCAATAAAATATAAATGAAGAAAACAGCTTTTAAACTCAAAGATTGGAACCGAGAAATGACCAAATTGCTTACCAAAAATAGTAATCGGATTGTTAAAAATTATGTGCTAAGTAAACTGAGAAATTTAACAGACTGGGTTATTGCTGTAGTCAAGATCACTTTTCAAGCAAATAAAAATAGTTTTTTAGGATCATTTGCAATTATAATCAACCGAAACCTGTTTATTAAAATTGCGAATTTTACATTAAACCTGTCCAAAAAGCAAGTGCATACTTATTAACATACAGAGTTGGAAATTTTAGTAATCCTAAATTGCTAATTGTGTGAAAATTGCCATCGCAAGCAAATTGGCAATGGTATTTTTAAATATTACGTAAATTATAACTTCATTCGAACCGCTTGAAAAGATATTCAAAGCCCCAAGATTCTGTAGCACGAATTGAAAAGTTTTTAAAGAATTTGCCTTGAATTTGAAATTTTAGCAATAATCCTACTAAAATGGTTTCAAAACACTCTCGCTTGCAACTGAATTGGACATAGTGCAATAAAAATATGCTAAAAAATCCACACTTACCGATTAATAGCCGATCTACAGAGGAAATTGCAAACTAGTTCTGAAAATGTATTGCGCAATACAAGCCCGAGATCGAGCCAATGTGCAACAGAACGAAGAACAAACTATCACTAGCGAGACTTGTTGGTTGAATGCAAAATGCAGTTTGCAGCTTATTGCATTGGTACCTGAACTTGAAAATCCATTGCCTTCGCTCAAAAATTAAACTACCAATTTATGAAATGAACATATTTTTATTAGTAAATTTATTTTGAGCCCATGAGTATTTTCAACTCTTTCTTTGGAAATTATGATAAGGAAAATCATGTTGAATGTGGAATGAGAACAAATAATTTATCAAATGCGTCAATATGTACATTATTCGACGTGCAAATTAGTGTCGTCTTTTATAAAAATGTGTTCGCTCATTTAGGGGCAATTTATTGCTTATGTTGATTGTTTTGTGACACATATAGCTTTTCTCGGTTTACGTGACCGCAACAATTAAACCGAACATTATTCAACAATAAAAATCTAATGCTACTTAAATAAAAGCAATAAAGCATGTTTTTTTTCGAATATTCAAGTCGATAATACGAAAGTGTTCGCAACTTAGGTATCGAAAATCGGCGGAATAGCTCGGTAAAATCGAAAGTTGCATCGAACTCGAAAGTTCCAGAATCGGAATACTGAAACATTTCCAATCGGTGCATACAAATGCATTTGCCTGCCATGAACGCAATGCCACAAATAATATATAAGAAACTAACACCAGAAGGTGAGTAATTAACGTTCTATTGCTCTGCAACTGGGTCAATAAGAATTTTTGCTGCAATTATGTTTGTTATGTTATTTAATATTGTTATTAGTAAAATTAATTACTTAATTGCAATTCCGCGAAGCAATTTGTTGAAATGACAACAAATGGGTTTCGAGCAAAGAAACAGTAATGGTTTATTGCTGTTTTTCAGCTAAATGATTTAATCAAGTGACCACTGCTTAGTTTTCTGAGCGTCTTTTCGGTCCTGACGTTTCGCAAGCAGGAGTGGCTGGCTTCATCAGGAGCGGTTTTCCCGAAAGCTTAAACTATACTCTTAGTACAGTTAAATGACTTCTGAAGATGCAGGCACAAAGTGCGTAAAAACTTGTTTTTACTGAGGCGGAAATTCCCGCAAACTTCATCAGTTTTTTAGCCCAATTAATTTTTACTATTCAATACTCTAAATACAAATTGCTGTTTTGAAAATTAAATATTATAAACCCCAAACTCCGCGCTTAACGAGCGTGCTATTTTTGAATTAAGATTGCAGTTGTCTTTGTGCTTATTTACCCTTTCATTTGTATTTGTCTTTTTGTTGTTTGGGCTTGTTTTATTGGTTATTCATAAAAGGCAATGATCATCTATTTATATGATGAATAAACTTTTGGCTCTAAAAGCTTCTATCAAGACACATTTGAGCTTGATTTTATAGCAAAAATCAAAACATAAAAAATACTTTGATTCATTAATAACCACTATTAAACATGTGCCGCGAAGTAAACACTAATTGTTTTCACATCGCGTTTTGAACTGCTGCCCTTTTCCAGCACTACAAAGGATCATCCCAAAAATAACTGAAAAACTAAAGCGGCATCAAAAATAATCACAACGTCACTATTTGAACCACATTTGCCGCAAATATCGCCTGATAAAAGCCTATTTGCATACAAAGCTTAGTACGTGGTTATTCAGTTTTCATTTTCGCTTTGCTGATGATACAGTGACAATTGGATAGTTGGTGACAAAATGTTTGGGACGAAAAAGAATAATACGGACAAGTCGGAAATTGTGCCTGTTATTTCAATGGTTCCTATAGTCGAATCCCGTAAGTAAAATCCGTGTTTGCTGGATGCCGATTTTTACAATTAGTGTTCGCGGGTGTAAATCGTCAAAATCTATTAAGTTTTTTTGGTATTGAACTCTCTCACGTTGAGGTTCAAGAATCAAGTGCAAAACTTCGAGTTTTGCAAAGATTAAATTTATTTTTGTATATTTTCTTTACTCAATTATTCACTAGGCGCCTGACAATTAAAGACTGATTGAACGCTTCTAATAACCGATAATAGTGCAAGGAAAGTTTACAATTAAAATTATATAGTGGTGCATGCGCCTAGTTGTGAATCTCATCAAGTTTCAGAATTTAAATTTAATACTTGAAAGTTTTTCGATGAATTATTTAGAAGATAGTTGGTTTGAAAAGCGTAGAAAATATTATATAATCAGATATAAATGGCACTGTTTTGAAAATCATCAGTCTTGTGTTTGCTAACTGATTAAACAAATTTTAAAACAATGGATACTATTTCCATAGAATTGCAGTTGCTTTTAAGCCGGCATTTTTTATGCAAATATTCAACACTCAAAATGCAGCTCAGTTAGATCCAGTTCCTTGTCTTATTAACACTGATTCTTGACTCTCAAAGCTGAAGTGAAAATAGAACATTTGATCAACTTTTTTATAAAACTCCAGCGAAGAACAATGAACGGACTAGTAAAGCTCTTTAAAAGTTGCGGATGTATATGGGAATTTCCCGCAGTTCCACCAAATCAAATCCTTCACAAAGTCATTGACATTATCAGTATTGTTTGCCCTCATAGTTTTTTAAATGTGAGCAAATCCGCCCACGATTTCCGCAGATACCGTCAGTTTTGCATATTGCAGTGATTAGATGAACTCAACTGCAAACAGTGCTCAACGAAAATGTTGCTTACTTATCCAAAAATTCGTTTATTTTCCAAGTTCTTCGCAAAACAAACCTATTTAACTCGTACATTTCTTTTATCCATTACTTCCATAATTATAAAATATTATTTCATATATGGCTTAACTGGTAGTTTGAACTTGTGCACTTGTAGTACATGCAAACCTGGCAAAGTTTTCATTTTACTTACAAACAATAATATTTTGGCTTACTGCATGTACAAATAATTTGAAGATTGCACAGCTTAAAGGCGTGATATCAATCAAAATTGTACAGTTCAATAGGAAACAAGATAAGATTGCGTTAAATTTTGTAATTAAAGTATATGACCAGTGTGACCAAAGGCGTTCATTGAGTAGTTTAATCGGCAAAGTTTATTATCGTGGGTGGTTAATTTGAGGAGTTTGAAATGTCTGCAATCAGTGCCCAAGTTGAGTTCTTGCCTGCTACAGAAAAATGTAAGTTAGCAACAAAAAATAATTAAACCAGTAACACATTTAAATGGAAAACAATGACAATTTTATACAGTAGTTTTTACTGAAGCGCAAGCAGATGTTGTCAACTACTGAACCTAGAAGCAACTTATTAGAAGAGTCAACATCATCAATCACTGTTGATTCATTTATTATGATTCGGTAAAACGATTAAAATGCAAAGAGTTTCAACTAAGTAAAAGTATTATTTTTTATTGACCATGTAATGCATTTGCGCGACCGCGATACACCACAACTCTGACTCACTTGATTGGACTTTCGTAGTAATCAAATTATTTATTATTAATAACATTAATTATGATTTATGAAAATTGGCAGAAGGACAATTCGGTATTGAACTCTGCACTTTTACGGTTGACGCTGGTTATGGAATATTTTCGTTTTATTACTAAAAATCCGGTTTCCATTTGCGTACATTAATTACAAAGACCTTCTTTGTTCGGATTAAAGTTTTTTTAAAAGCCCTGTCGAGTTGGCCCGCAGATTTTTAATAATATATTGTTTCATGGAATTACAACCTCATCAGTGGAAAATTTGCTTAATTTATTTGAACAGGACAAAGTTCACGTTTCGATTTAAACAAAATAAAGTGATTTCACTTTTGCAGAAAAAACGTAGCTCGCGCTTAATGAATTTATTAACTATAACAAGAAAAATATTGTTGTCTGCTCTCTCACAGACAGATTTATTGCTTGCTCATAATTATACGAAAAAATTGAAAGCAGTAAAAGTATTTGAGGTTCACCAAAGAAAACTGAGGCACAAGTTTACTATAAAAAAAGTTACGAAGGAATTACCAGAAAGTGCTAGTTGTTATTGGAACACTTTAAAAACATTGGAAATCACTTCACTGGAAAACACTTTTTTCCATGCCCGCCTAGATACTGTGACGGTTGTGTCGTCCGCATACTGGCGTCGTGCACCCCTCAACCGATTCCCGAGCTAAAAAATTTAACGCTTCACACATTTTTTTTTGTTTTTTTTATTCTCTTCTGCTTACATCATTGGATAAAATTATGCAGCTTTTCAATTGCGGACTATATTTCCATAATTTAATTATGCACACTAAGGAGCTAATTCTCGTATGCATACACCAAAAAGGGCGCGGCTAAACTACGCAACCACATAAAGCTAATTAATAAAAACTTGCCTAAAAACTTTATATAATCTTGCAATAAACCTGGACAAAAATTTAAGTAAAGTCTGGTCCAGTTGTATTAAATTCTGAAAAGTTTATTAGTGTTGCATGTTTTGCTGCGATAGTTTGATAAACATGTGACGCTTTTACAGTTTTTATGCGCGTGGAAAATGCATCTATGCATTAGAAGGAAGAGCGGTTTAATAATAAGTGGACAAGATCATTATTTATTAGTTCAGTGTTAAGTTGTGCAGCAGAAGCAAAGGCAAGTTAGTGAATTGTTCATCAACAAATATTTTTAGTAATTTAAACTTCCAATTGCAATATTTAATAAGCACCGGTAGGAATGTCTTTTGAAAAATTTAAGTGCTTTATTCGGAGTCAAATTTTGTGTGGTTTTTATTAAATTGCTTCAATTTAACTTCGAGTTAATATATTTTTTTAAAACGATAGGAAGAAAATATATAAATCGTTAACATATCAAAAAAACAACTTCTGCAATTGCAACTAAATGTATTCTCAAGACTGCATAAAATACGACTTTCGTTTGGCATGCAAATCATCACATGTTTCCATTAGAAGAACTAAACCTTGAAAATCGAACATATTCTAATGTTGTGGTAATTTTTGATGGTGATTTAATGGTTGCACGAGGTGCGCAAGAACCGAACCTGCTGGTCAATGGTCTCCGAATGCATATACACCTTCATCTCTTATCAAACTTCAGTTGGTTCCATCGAGTTGCCAATATCGAAGGAATTTGTAACTAATATTAGTGCGTATATTTTGCTGTAGTGCGGTTTCCTGTTTTTTACGTCTTCGCCTAAATGCCCTCTGAGGAACTTGGTAAGGTTAAAATCACAGGATTGTTAAAGTATTTTCAGTTTTTGAAGCAGTTTATAAAGCTGGCAACAAACAAAGTAAGAATAATTAACGCAAATGAAAAATACAATTGGAAGAAACAAAATATCCGAATGTTGTTGCACACATAGTAACAAAGTCTCCAAAAAGTAGTCAGTATGACATATTGTTTAACACCAGAATGTGGTTAAGGTTGGGACAACTAATAATATTTTAGCCCTTTGCATTCGTACTCATCGCAAATGCGAAAATCCAACCGTGCAAGAACGGGAACTCTTGCCGGCCACTTCAGGTCAATTCACCTTTAGTCTCAAAAAAATGTAAACTTTAATGATTTTTTAGGAAAGCTTTGCTGAAATCGACTGCTTCTTCAGTATTATTTTATTAACTGGATTAATCAACCTTATCACGATGTTCAGTCGAATTTTCGCAATATCTGCTTTATTCATTCAAATAACTTTTCGTTAATTACTTCAAGTATCTGTTTTGTTGGTATTATTTTAGAAATCAAATCAATACGTTTTGGCCCTTCACAGTTGTTATATATATTTAGACTTTCTTATTGATTTTTTAAACTTTTGTTTTTATTTCCATCAATCAAACTTTAGCGCTCAAACAAACGAAAACTGGTGTTGGGCCAAGATCTGTTTCACATTTTGTTGCTTTTGTTTCACACTTACACTTTTATCTTTTTTATTCAAATCATCAGAAAAGCTTCATTTTATTATCAATTTAATTAAGGTTATCTGCTTTATTCATTCAAGGAACTTTGCTATTTAATGGTTTTCAGTAGAGGCATTTTCTAAAATCGTCTACTGTTTCAATATTATTTTAGAAATTAGATTAATACATGGTGGAGCTTCTCTATTGTTCTATTCAATTAGACTTTTTAATTATTTTTTTTTATTTCTTCTGGTTTTACTTCCGTCAAAACTTTAGCGTCCAAACAAACGAAAAAACATATTTTTTTTTATAAAAATTAATATTTTGCGCTTTGCTGCTTGATTTCGGTTTTAAAATCTCAGAACTGTTCACCAATTTGCTAAACATGCACCTTTAATTTCATGAACAGCTACCAATTTGCGTTGTAGTTCTAATGGAGTAAAATGGTGTTAATTCGCACGTATAAATAAAGCCATCACCTTGTAAATTTAATTGAATAATTGTTAAAAAATAGAGATTTATGTTGCTTCTCAAGTGTTCCCCTATTTCCATTTGAGGTGTTCACTGAATTCTCTGCGGCAGCTAATAATTCTTTAAATAGCGATAGATTGAAGGAAATGCTTCTTCCTAGTGAAGATTTTGTACGAATTAATTAAAAAAGATTTACATTTTCGTTCCAGATTCCTGATTGTTTACATTATTTCTTGATTAATTAAGCCCGCGATTGAAAAGGCTTATGCAATATCTAAGGCAGCGGTGAATTTACATTGAAATAAAAATTATTGCAAACTTTAAAAATTGATGTATTACCAAACATAATCTTAAACGTAGGTAATTCTTTCGTTTAAAGAAATAGCACATTTCAGTACTTGGGACGTGCAACTAAAGCATTTTTTCCTATTACATTTCCTATTTTAAAAGTATGTATGTCTAAAATCTCGGTAAGATAAAGCACATAAATCGTGAGTGTTTCGCCAATTATTTTAATTATTTTTTCGCATTTGCACATTTAAAAAATCCATCAATTTCAACTGGAAAGTGTGATATTTGTGCAAAACCAGCTGGTTTTCATTGCTGAACAAATTTATCAAAACTGTCTTTTACCATTGGAAAGTCCAGTCCATCCTTGGCTTGAGTTTTAATGGTATTCCATGAATAACAATTCAAAAATCGGCAGATTTGACCATGGTGCTCGAAATTTCGTAACCAATAATTATTAAGGTGAATGTCGTTTGGAAGGTTAATGTTGAACTTCAAATGTTATGTAAATAAGATTTCGATTAATTAGTTGGGCTAATTTAGTTTTTTAAGTCGCTTTTAATAATAGATTCGTTTTTTTTTTCAGTTGCTTAATGTGAGTTTAATGCGTGTTTTGCGATCTACTGTCCAATGGGACATTAATAATTACTTGATGGTGGGGAAAATTGCACTTGCGTCAATATGTAGCAAAAACATTCATTAGCAGCCGGAAGAAATACAATCATTTCTTCTTGGGAGTTTCCTACAATTAATTTGACTTATGAATAATTTTATGGGTTTTCCAAACCACCAATATTCGACAAAGTTTCACTATCCACAAACCAACAAAATTTATTAACTAGCTTGTAATGGAGGAAATTACTATTTAATAATAACTATATTAGATTTGATTTTCTGACCCTGACCAACACAAATTTCACTAAATAATTGCTGTTAGCAGGAAACACACATTTGTTGTTGTCTTGTTTTGCAACCCATATTAATAAAATTATATGTATGCAAAAAAAGGTCTGAGTGATATTTAAGGAAACGATATGCGTGATTGTGCAATTGCGTTTTAATGTTCTGCTTGTAATCTTAGTTATTGAACTTTGAACATCCACTATACCGCTTTTGCAAGGTGTTTTCAAATTTATTCCATTGATTTATTATTGCACTATTTTATCAAATTCGCCATAGTTTCAAAGTTTTAATAAATAAGAAAAGGGGAATTTAAAAAGCCAATTTAACCAAGTGTGGTATAGGCGCTATCAAGCCCATTATTTTCATCTATTGTACCATACATCTAGCAGATTTATTTAACATTCGTGAGTCTGTTTCCTTGAAATTTGATGACGCCTTTGCCAAAGTCCTACACTTGGATGGATTTTTAATTAGCCGAGTGTTTATCTGCTGCGCTTATCACATTCCATAATATGATGGTTTTCTACCCATCCCATCACCGTTAACATTGAAATTTTTTAAAGCTATCATGTCCAAGGAACAGGTATGGGTATTTGTATGTAAAAATAGTACTTCATATCAATCAATGACGTCAATTCAGCGACTGGTAGCAATAAGTACCTATACAATATGAGCCAAGGTTATATGCAAATGCGATAATCTTTTCGAACTTAAAATTTTCCCACATGTATGAAGTAGACATGAGCTAGAAAGTTTGGGAAACAACTGGATAATAATTCCTACATTTTTAATGCAGTTAAGAAGACGTTTCATTAATTTTTAATTCACTAGCAATTATAAGGCATTGTAATCAGCCACAGTAACACACTATTGGGTTTGAATGATTCTCTAATCCAGTTTCTCAATTTCATGTGTTATAGTCAATTATTCTTAAAACTTATCATGTACCCACCGTCTAGTTGATATTTAGATGTCTGCAGAAAAAAGCTTAACAATTTCATATTTTTTCAGTTCGAGAAACCATGCTGTCCGACATGGAATTGATGCCCATCGTCCAGCTGGGCAACTACACTTTGACCATAGAGTTAGAAGACTTGAATGAAGAAGTCCGAGAAATTGCCAAAAAAGAGCTGCGAGAAAACCCTGACGTTACCCAACAGGCCATAAAAGAGCTCAGAGATCTCTTGAAAGGTACTCAGCAAATTTGCCATTATGCCCTCAAACAGAATTAATGTTTTTAAAACTGTATGCGACATAAAAGCATATTATTTAAACATCCGAAGAAACTCATAAAAGTTAAATCTGCGGAAGAATCCAAAATGCTGTTAACGAACATGAACAATCCTCGCTTTTAACTTACAATGACGAAGCTTTGGTAATTATTGCTTTGTCAGAAAGCATGACTGAGAATAAATTAAAATTTTTAATGCAACTTTTAACTCTTGACCCAAGCGCAAAATTTAATTGTATAAAAATCATCAGATATTGGATATGTATTTCACGTCTTTGACTGAATATTGGCAAATGCGAGCGGACTAATTTATTTAAATAAATATGTTGAAACGCCAAACCGCTTTAATAAGACTGTTAAATTGCCATTAATGTAGATTGGAAAGTGAGCAATTGAAGATATTTGGCGCACTAATGCTTGAAATTAACTAATAATGGGTTTGGGTTGCGTGTGTCTGAAAGGCATTGATTTTCGCTCGATATGCACAATTGTAAATTCCCATTGCACAACAATAAATGTTCCAGAATTGAATTCAATAATTCTTCAATTTTTCAGAGGAAGATGACTTATATATCCCCTTGGAAAACGACTTGTGGCTCGTTCGGTTCCTAAGACCGACAAAATTCTACCCTGAAAGCGCCCGAGACTTAGTAAGCAACTTTTAGAGCTTGAAACTCTCAATTGTTATTCGAGCTTTCAACATTTAAATACGTTTCCAGGTCAAAAGATATTACGCCTTCAAACAGAAACATTCCAACATGTATGAAGACCTGTTGCCTAGTAGAGAAAAAAACATTTTCCAACAAAACATACTCACCGTGCAACCCAACAGAGACCAATTGGGACGGAGAATTTTAATTATAGAATTAGGAAGTAAGTAGCCAGAAAGCGTCGAATGTCACGAAATCCATTCGCAGCTAAATTGCTTTTTAATTGCTAGTTTAATTACAATATTAATATCAAACATTCATGAATGACGAAGAAACAAATGGATTCTTTTAGAGAAATGGAAGACCGATAAAGTCACACTTGATGAAGTTTTCAAAGGCTGTGTTCTTTTCCTGGAAGCCGCAATGTTGGAACCAGCCACCCAAATATGTGGTGCAGTAGTGATTTTCGATATGGATGGCCTTTCTTTGGGCCAAGTCAGCAAATTTAGCCCACAATTCGCTAAAAGAATTGTCGATTGGTTACAGGTAGATTTGGCCACAAAATTCCAAGGAAATCGTGTTTCTACATTCGCAATTTCAGGATAGCGTCCCACTTCGAATCAAAAACATCCATGTGGTCAATCAGCCGATGATTTTCTCAGTGGTTTTTGCACTGTTCAAACCGTTTTTGCAGGAAAAGTTGCGAAGTCGCATTATTTTCCATGGAAAAAACCGCAAGTCTCTCCATCAGTACATCGATTCCACATGCTTGCCAGAATGCTATGGCGGCAGTCTCGATTTGCCTAGAATTGAAGGCCCTCAATGGCTAGAATTGTTGGAAAAATGCGACTCAGAATTTAAAGGTGAGAGAGGCATTGAGTTGTAATTAAAAAAAAATTATAATTGAACCTTGCAAATTTTGCAACAATGTATTTTTTTATTTATTTTAAATAGACATGCTGATATTTTTGCTGGAATATTATTATTCGATTTCGCTAAAATTGTTTGATTTTTTAGCTATCAACTCCTATGGTTATAAGAAGAAAATCTCCAAATAGTCTCAGTCAGCAATGAATGTCCAAGAACCATTTACTTAGTCTGATGGCAATTCGTGGTGAAGCTACGGTTATTTATTAAGCAAATAAACGTGAAATTCTATGTTACTTATAGAATGTAAATATGTGCCCAATGTTTTTGATAATATTTTTCTAATATATTTATGTTTATCTATATTTCCTCCTATTCCGTCTGTTTTAAAATGAGAAAACGATGATTGTCACTTTAAACAGGGCTATTGAAAAAATCTTTAAATTTTCTTAGTAATGCAGATACAGTTTGTCAACCTCCACCTTTATGCGCTTCGTTTTCATTAATATTTCGAGTTTTTTCAATTTTTATGGCTGCTTTTAGAGCCGGAAATGTTTGTAAAATGTTACAATTTATCACGTGCTCTTGCAACATAAATATACTCAGTATGGATGCAATTTCCACCTTTTTTATATGTAAAACTGTCTGCTTTTCTTTCATATCCCTTAAAATTCGCATATACCTTATTTCCTGTTGGAATACATTCAGTTTACAGGAATTCTTCCAGCAAAAGCTTCAATTGTTAAACTTTATTGGCCTCGTGCGCTCAACAACATGAACAGTTTAAATTACAGAAAATAAACCAGTTTTACTTTACATAATGATCACAATTTTCGTCGAAGCATAAAACGATCCGAGGCCGCATTTCCCATTCTATGCGTTCATCATACATTAGCCCATAAAGAGTAATGCAGGATCTTAACCGGCTTTACTGCATGTCTTAATGGATGTTCCATTCGATTTCGCACTTTCATCTGAGATCAGTTGATTATCATTCAGTTCCGCAATGTAGCCATAATTGTAAAAATCTAGAAAAAAAAACTCCGCTGAATGTTTCCAGTTATTACATAACGCTTATAAGACAAGGGACTTACCCTGGAACTTATTTTGATAGTAAAACAACATTTCCGAAAAAATCGATCCTGGATAGTCAGGAATGTCGGCTGTTCCAGCAAATTTTCTTGGTAAGCTAGATTCTCCTATTTTATCACACAGTGACTTGTAGTCGGTTCCATGGAAGGACAGCTGCAAAAAACTCTCCCATAATAACCAGCTTACCAGCAACTTAGCGCACTTACCCGTTTCTTCAAATATTCCCCAAGAAACGGTTTAAAAAGCGCATACAACATGCTGAACAGATAGGGCTGGTTTATTATATGAATTCCTCGTAGCCTTACTGGGGCGCATTCCTGCAACCAAGTAGGCTTGAAAATACTCCATTGACTAATTACTCAAGCATAAATGCGTTGTGCAAGTCGCAGGCAATTGAAGGGCTGAAAAGCTTCAATTTTTTACCTCACCTGAACCCAATCTACTATCAGCTTAGCCATTGAGGGTGAGAATTGGTAAACATGAGTCAACGAAAGTCCTTCTAAGTCAATAATCACATTAGCGCCGCCCACTTGGGTCTTCGGCTCCATCATTGCGATTTCTATCGACACCATTATCGATCGAAACATATCCACCAAAGGAACTTCTTTCGGCTTCCATTTCGCTAAGGAAAACTCAATTTCCACCATCTCTTTACTAGAGCGATTGCTACGTACTTCCAGCATTTATAATCATTATCCGGCCCCCATACAGGCTTCTAGTGGGCAAGAACATGAACACTTCGCTATCGAAAACATGCCGAACACCTTCAGGCGTAACATGCAGTCCACCGTACTTGGGATTTTTCACTTTGAATCTGTAAAACTTTTTCATCATCTTGAACGCTTGCTCGGCATTGCACTTGAAAGGCCTTAGGAACTTTAGCAGGAATTTATCATCGTCTATTGGCAGGTTTAGGCCTTTTTCAGCTGAAAGGAATAAGTACATTTCTGGACGACTTGAAATGCTAAGCAGCGATTTAAAATTCCACATTCGTTTGTAATTTCAAAGGTAAACGCCCGAAGCTTTAATACTAGCAATTAAAATTACCGAAACCGATTTCAACAACTTGAAATTAGCCTTCAGTGATTTTCTGGAATGTTAATTAACATAGAATTCCTATCTTCTATAAGGTGAAAATTGAAGGCAGGTTTCTCTTCGAAACGCAACCTTCACAGTTTCCCCTTGTTTTTATGGCTTTTTCGGCCTGCGCGTTTAAATAAGTTTTGGAAGATTGGTTTGCTGATATGCCGCGTTTTTTCCAAGCATTCAAAATAAGATACCATTTATTAATTCTCTAAACTTCTTTAATCCTTCTTGAATCCGTTCTGGTGTTTCAAGCAGTTCGGTTTTGGCTCTTTCCTCAAACTCTCCGCTAATATCTTCTAGGTCAAGCCGAAGCTGGTGGGATCCAAGAGTGACAAATGGTACTCCATCATTGTCCGTTTCTACGCATATCGGCATGACGTGCCAGTTTCCTAAAATAAAAAAAAAATCCTTATGAATTATTGATGAAGGTAGTTCAATAACAGCAACATCATGCATTTATGTAGCTTTCAGATTATTATTTACAATTGCTATTGAAAATTAGGTTGGCGTCCTAAAAGGCATGTTGGAGTTGAATATCCGACTATAATCTTGTGTCTTAAACCTGATTTTTTTTTAATCTAAATGTACTTAAAAATTATTTTAATGTTTTTTATTTGGCTTGAAAAAGCTTCATCGGGCTGCTGCTATTAAGGAAACTATCTGCTCTACTATGTAGAAACAAACAATCTTCGTGAAAAAAATGCCAAGTGATATACAAATATAATTTAAAATTCCCATATATGCTACAATTTTAAATATCTGGCCCAGTAACCTTGATCTCAATTCAATGTTGAATTATTACACAATATAATTTTTAATAACTAAACATCTACCCACTTATTAGTGGACTGAACGTATTAGGCAAGGATGCACATATACGGTTTATTTCCAATTATCGCCATAAATCCAGGGAAACAATCGAGTTATATTTGCCAGAGTTTTATAGTGTTTATCTAGTTATTCGCAACAGTCATATTAACAGTTGATTTTCGTGCAGGCAATAAAATTGAAATTTTTTCACTAAATGCGACTCATTTTAACGTTAAAAACCATTGTTATTCGTTGCAGTTATCATTGATTAATTAAGCTTGATGTTTAAAAAATTCTTTTCATTCAAAAAAAAAGTGAGAGTGAAGTGAAATTATCTCCGTTTCAAAAGTTTGCGGTTGTATCAATTTTCAGTCATCGATTTCAAGTTGAGTCAATCAAATGCAAGAATTCAAAATACAAAAACTATAAAAAAATAAGCGTCAATTTTACCGTAAAATATAAACACGTTCACGGTCAAAAAAATATATTTTTTTGACTAATAGCTTCAAGAGACCTTGTATATCCTTATCATCACGAACCCAATAGGATTGAACCGATAAAACTATAAATAAATGTAATTGCCCGATCGGTCATCCATTGTTTAACTTTAATAACATTTAACAAAGAACCACTGTACTTTGATTTCCAAAAAGTAAAATCGGGATAACCAGCCAGAATTTTAAAGGAAAAAAATCTGGATTACATAAACAGACTTTACCTGTTGAAGTCAACGACACAAACGGAACCCAAATAACACTTTCACCGTCAGAAAACGGAACCCAGAGTGGTACGAAAAGACAAAACACTGTGGTAAATCTTCTGATGCATTCAACAACGCTTCGATGACTGTACTAGTAGCCACTGTTGGCCAGTTTAATCATTAAATTGTTGCGGGGATTCCATACAGATGTTGGTACATAATTAAAATTTTTAGTTGCGCACTGCTAAGTAATATGATTCAATTTTTGTTTCATTTCTTTCAATAATTTACCTGGCTTTTCGGGGGCGAATTTTTCAAGCGAGAAAAACTTGTTCTTTATTAATTAAATTAATTGAGTTTCTGACTGCGAAATCCATCAAATCAATTGCTAGCTAAATTATTAAACTTCATTTTTTTCAATGTTGTTTCACATTTACTTCGTTTCATTTTAATCAAAATCTACTCAAAATTGAGTTTATACAAAAAATGGGACTAAAAGACCTCGTCAGCTTGATCCTACAACAAGAAAGCAACAAAGGCATTTTTACTCAACTTCCTGCAAGCGAACTAGCAAAATTTGATTAAATCTTTTATCCTTGTATAACTACGAAAAGCTGCATTATTTTGACGAAAAGTGTTTTAAACTAATTGCAGAAAATATTGCGAATTTGTTTTCACTTGAAGTAGAAAAAATATGACTTTAGTTAGTTTAGTTAGTAGTTTCATGTTGGAAGATAGAAGAAACGCTTCATCATGATAAAAGGATCAGCAACCAGAATTAAATCAATTCAGGAGGTTTTGCTTGACTGAATTGGACCGAACGTCTCGATTGTTCGATAAAAATAAAATACAGTTTCTATTTTCATGAAAACAGTAATTCAATAATAAATAACAATTTTCTTCATCAGTTTTCAGTTTTCTTCCTCTGTTTCATTTAATTGATTGTTTAAATTTTGAGTTATTTACTGTTATGTTATCTATTTTTAGCTAACATGAAAAAAAAACTTCAATTACTTAGAGCAGAATCATTCGAATAAATGAATAATTACAAAGTCGCAAATTACTATAATAATGTATTTCCTAATTGAACAAGTTCCATAAAGGAATGATGCGAGCTAAAAACGAATAGTGTCTAATTCATGGGAATTTTCCACAGATCATTCATCAATTTCATGTAATGATCTAATAAAATATTCGTCATTATTGCAGCTTTTTTGGAAGAAATGTGCAGCTTCAGCTACGGATCTAAATAGTATCTGCACACTTATACTTTGTTGGTGTTAAACATTTACTCAAACTGTATAACTATTACCATTATTCCGACATTCCATTAGCATTTACGGGTATACTAAAGCCAATTAACTTACATTTTTGTCTCCTACATGAAAACATTCAGTAAAACTGAGGTTACGATTCCTCAGCTCCAAGTTACATTCTTTGGATCAATACCGACAATCCACGCCGGAGCGGAAAGCTCATTTTTCCACACAGCTTACCTGATATTGTTTGTTTCAACTGCATTTAAAGCTCAAGAAATTTCAATTTTTTTTACGAAAAGCCAGTGACAAGCTTCCAAATTCTACTGAAATCAATCTCTCTCCCGTGTACGGAAATTCGTGTCTTTACAACTGTACCCTTTGACCATACAGAACAATGGCCAAAACATTTACATAAAATTTAAATTAAATATTCCAAATAAACGCACGTTTTTTTATTGGGTGAATAGTTAAAGACATACAAACTTACAAAGTTATATTTGGCTTTGAAATATTTACTAAAAAAGGGGACAAAATACAGAATTAGATCCTTAATATTTACTATAGCCTAATCATAGAACACAAATACTGCATTATTTCTTTTTCAGTCCAAAACTATTCAACATTTTGATATGTTCAATATGCTCTTCAATGACCGGATACCATTCTTTGCCACTGTAATTAATGGCTGGCAGCACGCCGTCGTAGTCTTTTGGTAAATGCGTTGGAGGGATGAACTTGTGGAGCGAAGCCATCTTTGAACCATGGAAGTGGATCTGAACAAACCAAAGAAAAATCAGCATCACTATGCAAAAGCCCACTTAATCCAGTACCCTGTTCTTCAGCTTTTCCTTAATGAATGGCTTAAATATTTGCCAAACCATGTTGAAGACAAATGGTTGTTTCACCATGTGCACTTCTTTCAGCCTAAGGGGCATCGCTTCTTGTATGAATCCCAACAGTTTCATGCTGAACGCTGGAGTTAAACATTTCACCTGAAAGAAAACCGAGTTTAGTATTAATCTTATTAATCTGCAGTTCCAATCTAAATATTTTACCTGCTTCATTCCAAGCCCATCATAATCCATGATCACAACCACTCCGTTGACCTGGGTTTCTTCCTCAAGAAGAGCTGCTTCATGGATGAGGTAAAACATCCTGAATAGCTGATCCGTGGTCACTTTGGATGGGTCCCAAGCAGCTGATAATAAAGCGCAATTGATAACTTTGAGGAGGGAATAATAAAGTCAAACTTACAGCCGCTGTTCACAACCAGCACTCTCCTCCCTTTGTGGTCTCTGTCTTTGAGAACGGTCACAACCCCATACTCAGTGAAGGCAGTCCTTTCATCGGAGGGCAGTAAGTTTTCCAAGATATCCTTGTGCTTTTCTCTAAAAGCCGCAATTCTCTTCATCTAATAGAAAATAAAGATAATTAGAGGAGGGAAATGCTAAATATTTGCTAAGTCTTCGGAAAAACACGGTACCAGAGCAAAAAAGGAAACATTCCTGAGTTATTTTATTGTGTTTATTACTGATAAATTGAGTTGATTTAGTGGCTCAAACTACAATGTTTAAATATCTAAATTAGTTAAAATAATGAGATTGGAAATTTTAACAAAGTCCTTTGTTTTTACAGCACGATAAGAGTCTTATACTGGCATCTAAACCGTTTAATTGATAACTCCATTGATAACTCTATTGATAACACTTAAAATTAACGAATGTGAACCTGGCTAACATTCCAACGTGTTCTATTCTACGTGATCAGCTGCTGATCATACATGTGCTGCTTATAACGTGAGATCCAAGGGTCATTTTTATGCTAAAATTGTGAAATTAAATGGCAATTTTGAACAAGCAAAACGGGCAAGAGATGTATTAGTTGATTAAATTTAAATAATATTTGCTGTGAACACAAATATGAATTTAAAAAATGTAATAAAACACAAAGGAATAAATTATATGTGCGTACAGGGAATGTTTATTACAAATAATTATTTAGAGCAGCAACTGAAGTAGGTAGTAGAAACAGAAATTTAATGGATCTTAGGATGTAGATATCAGGAATAAGCCAACTAAATAGAAATTTAGAGAGGATGAAAATTAAGTGGAGAAATCTGTTTTTGATCACTTGAACATTTGCCTTCTTGAAGTGTTCCATATGGGCATAACTCATGCCAAAATGGGTTGGATTATTTCGCCACAAATAACTGGATAAACTAGTTGTGCGAAAACAGTTTGAACAGGTTATTTAAAAAGGTTGAAAGGTCAACTTCTATTAAGTTCCGCAATCCTCAAAAAAGGCGCTCAATTTCACCCAATGAACCCTTTTCGGTCTTTCCCAAATAAATTTCCCGTTTGAACCTCATTTTGAGAAAAGCTTGTCCAGAAGGACGGAGTAAAAATCTGAAAAAGGCCATTTGATGCCGTCGTAAAAATGAATGCATCAGACTCGAGCGACTAGGAAGACAATAACCAATATAGACATTCTAAATTTATTGACGAAAGTGTATAGAAGCAAAGAAACAATGAACAGAAACGTATTAAGTAATGAGAAGCTATTGAATGATAARAAATGAAACAATAAATTTCTAATAAATTAATATAKACGAGAAATAGCAGTGTTTTAAGATATAAATATGTATACGGACGGAAATTATAACTACAGAAATGTACAAGCTGAAGAAGTTATTAGTAATATTAAGAAATGTTGGCCGTCTAAAAATACATGGAAGTTAACAATACGAAGATACGGAAAAACATTTAATGATTTTGCAAAGAACTAAAATATTTTTTAAAATTCCCGAGAGGAGTATTGCAGTTGCGGCTTGACCATATGCTTAAATAAAAATTATCAATAAATGTCATGAAATTCTCCAATAATTCCTATCAATCTAAAATAATTCAGCATTGAATTATAATTAAAAAATCAGTTGATAAAGAAGTGTTAATGTTAAAAGTTAAAAAAGACGGATTAATGAATAGAAATATGCCGSAAATTTTCAAGTGAACTGTTTTCAGGAGACACAATGCAYCATAAGAAAAAAAATTGKTTTATCTTGCAATTTCAACATTTTTTTAAGTAGTAGTAGTTTTTTTAAGTAGTAAGTAAGTAGAGCCTTCCGTTAAAAACCAAAAAAAAWTTTGAACTTTYAGTTCAAGAATACGAATTGTAATTCTCTGGAATGGTCTTCGATTTTCAGAGAAAAATAAATAATAATGAATAATCAAGTAATAAACTGAAGAGTTGCAAGAAAAATAATCACTTGCTGGCTAATTTGCAAGAGAAAGCGCTTTTGAAAAATTTAAACAATCCAAAGTTATAGCAGAATGGACGAGAAAACATACAACATATTGATATAATCAAATAAGTGCATCAACAATAAGACAAAATATTTTCGCCAAACTAAAATTGTGAAAAATTCAGCGAGACAATACATGAAATTACACACACAGCAGAAGAAAGACTGAAAACTAAGAAGCTGAAAAAGACTGAACGATAAAAGTGCTGGCTCTTAGAAAATTCAAAAAGAAACATTAACGTGAACGAGTTTTAACGTAAACAACTGTAGAATAATGCTTGAATTAGATACAAAAAACTGATAGTTGTTTTTAAAAAAACGGCACTTTAAGGATGTTGTTTTGAAACGCTTTATCGCAGCGTTAAAGTGCATTTAATCAATAGTCAAAAACAATGTTATCTGCAGTTGTTTTGAACATTTTCCAATGTCTGAAGGCCTACTATATCGAGTGTTTTATTCCTGATTCTGTTTGAATTGCTTCCGTTCTGTTAATAATAAATAAAGATTTACTTACCAGCTCGTAGGCACTCTTGGCGTAAAACTTGCATGGTCTGAGATACATGATGAGAATTTTGTCATCCGTTTTGAAGTAAATGGTATCATCATTTTCCACGAGTTCTCGAAGTTCTAGAATTGCGGCAGCAACAATTTCCGGAGTTTCACGGAGTTCTACTTCAGCGCGTTTCTGGAGCTCTGGGCTGAGTGGCGCCAAATTCAAACTAAACGGAGATGCCATCTGAAGACCGAGAAAAAATTGGAATGACACGAACACGATCCGAACAAAAGTAATGCAAGCTGCTCAAAATTCGTCTACAATATAAGTAGAATATTGGACTTAATTAGCATAATTTTCAAATTACCTACGTTGTTTTTTTCGTTATTGAGACGAAATTACGTCGAAAGGTAATTTGTTGGAAAAAGATAACTGATTCATTATTGTCAATACATATTTCAGTTACGTTATTATGGATAATGTTCTGAAAGTACAAAGTTTACGTATCATAATGACAGCCTCGTGGACGATTGCGACAATTTTTAAATACTCCCAGCGGTTCTGCAACCAATAGAAAAACGGTTTTTTGATATATATTTGCGACCGCAATAATTGCTCACATGATGTAGATTTATCGCTTGTCCAAGTCCAAATAAATGGCATGTGCAAATGTACATAACAGCTATAATGGGAAAACTCACACCTTCAAAGGAGGAAGTGTGGGCAATCAAATTCAACAAACATTTGCCGTTGAGTTGTTAAAGTCGATATATATTATATGTAAATATAGTGATTGTTTTGGAATTTCTCAAGTTTGAGTATTTTTTTTGGTTCTTTCCAAATTCGTTTTTTTACATCCGATAAATGGGGTTTGAAATAAAGGTTAATTTTTACTTGTAGCCAATCTACTGCAGTTTTTCGCGATATTTTACCGATTATTCAAATGCCCGATCAAATTACATAAAAGCGGTATCAGATAGCTCATCAAGAAACATCACACTTGACGAGCGAAGGCTTACGTTTACGATACTTAAGACCTACGTCAATTACCATTTGACCTGTAACACCGAATTCAGGCTGAAGCAACTTCCTTTTTCAATCGATTGTAATTAATGACGACGTTCACCTTCGTTAAGCATCATTTATTAATGCACCAATCTACCATATTTTACAAAAAATAATTATGTAGTTCCTCCTCAGCATCGAATTGAAAATTTTAAAGAAAATCCTTAGATACTGTTGATCAGTTTCCTATAAAAAGATTGCTGCTGTGGAGCAAATTGGGTGGAAGATAGCTTGTTTAAACACACGAAAGGAGCGTTTTATTCTTGAAAAATCCGCATAAATTCTAAGATTTTCTTATAATACACAAAGATCAATAAAATTCGTACTTATAGACACAACATATTTTTATCTTATCGAAAATCCATGTTGTTATTATCCGATCGATCCAAGCTCAAAGTCTAGCTTGCTTAGAAATAACAATGTATGAGAAATGCCGCTTGCTTAAATGGAGTAAAGCGCCAAATAAAAAAAAAATTGTCACAGTGTCTCATGAAAAAAACTCTGCATTCAAAGGCTTTAAGAGCAGGGGTAGCAAAAAGAGCACAAAGAAAAATTAATTTAAATTGAAAAATGTTGATTGAAGCAACCCAAAAATAAAAATAAAATCCTACATACCTTTCTCAATAGAACCCTTAGCAATAACTGAACACTGAACACAGTGCACTAGTGCATAACACCTCGGGGTACCAATTGAAAGTGGTGTTTAATCAGTATCGAATTGACCTTTCACTTTCTTTATCTTATCCTCGAAATACTCGATTTCAAAGTTCATAAATCAAATTTGAAATTATTAAAGTTATCGCACATGTAGAAACAGATGACACATTGGGACAACGACAACCAGGAACCCAAAGGTCAGCTATTTATTTGAAAGTACCGATAAGAGTTCCAGACAGCAGGCTTGGGATGAGGGAGATGTTTTTTGGTTAGTTGGTCCACAGTATTAATTAATTAAATGTTTTCGCCCGTTTTTCGGCAAAGGAGATCAAGAGGAAGCTCACAAAGAAATGTCTTAGAAGTCCAAGATAAGATTAGTAGTCTACTAATCTCTGATTACAGAATGTATTAAAAGTGTGAAAAATAAATGTGCGCTCTTCTCTTGTGTGTATACTTGTTGACAAAAAATAATTCTTTGGTTTCCTTGATGGGTTCTAACGCTCATAATCGCAGTTACGGGAGTTAACACCCCTTGGCATCTAGCCATGATAGTAGAAATTCGACAAAAGCCACTAGCTACCTTTCCAATTTTGATCCTAAATAAAAATCAAATAATTGCAGACTTAATTTGTGTATTTACAGTTCACTGCAAAGATTTCAGCTTCAACCATTCGTGATCCATTGGTGAATGCCGATTTATTTTCAAATATAAACATTGATAGAAATCCATCGGCGAATGGATCGGTTAAGCTTTTCAAGTTGTCCATAAGAGAGCTCCATCGGGGAATTTGTATGTAGGAAACGCAGAGAAAAAGCTTCTAGTTAGTTATAATTTAAGTTATTTTGCTTAATGCTGGAATAAGACTGGGGCCGCTTGAATAAAAGATAAAGTGCCAAGTACTTTGATCTTTCAAGCGAGTTTGCTGTTGGAGGAGTTGCTCTTCTGAAGTTAACGAGCTGGAATTCTCAAGTTGAACCCTGTTAGAACAGGACTCAGAACATTTGCAGATTCTATATGGTTTTTTCTGGATCTTTTCACGTCCGATTCCTCGAATTGGAAGTAGATTTCGCTCTCAGCTTCCACGTTAATCCCAATTGCTCATTTTTTTGCCTTATAGATTACGATGTGCTGGACCATTTGATACTCTGAATATCTCTTATCTTGGGCAGATCCAATGGGTGCTGGACTATAAACGACTTTTTTGAAGATTTTGCGTTTGTTGTCGCCTCTAGATCCCACAAGCGCATCATTTTTCGACCACCGAACTGTAAGCGTTCATGGTTCAAAAATCCAGATCAACGCTCCACAAAACAAGGCTGCTGATCAGTATTTTCATTCGATGTTTATGGAATTTGCCAACAAATTTATGTAATCTTGTTGGAATATATCCTCTAATTTCAAGGTTTTTCTAGGCGGGAGAGTTTTTCTATCTGGGCCTTTAGGGCGTTTGCTGAGCTTTCGACCTAATTTTTTTGGAGAAAAACCGATAATCTTTACTTGCTAATAATGTATGATCGGTCAGGCGATGGCCATTGAAATTATTGAAAATAAAAGTGAATCATTTCGATTCCCGCAACATCTCCCACTGTCCCACTTCCAGTGGCGTTCGGATGTGGCCAATCTAAAGAAAGATGTGGGATAAATCTTGGTGTAAAACCGCATCTCGCTCCTTCACTGTTACGCAAAGGTCAGCGGGTGGACGGCTTGTATTTATGCTGTTGATTAGACGATGCTGTTTTTTTGAAAATTTTCTTCGTGATGGGACGTGCGAGATTCAATTGTTGTCCGCGTAGATTTCGATGGTTTCGAGGGACTTGGTCACCGAAAAATGACGTTAATTTGCAACCGATTTCCAAACCGGAATCTGCAGCTGGTAAGCAATCAATAGCAATCAATTCCAGGTCTATTAAGCAAGAAATTTACCTCTGTTTACATTATTTTAAGAAGTCACCTTGGTTAAAATTTAACTGGATTAGTTAACGATTTTTAGAAATTATCCGTGTCTTTTTGTAGTTGCAATTTTGTCAATAGTGCTTGTTTGACTTTTCATTATTTGTCTCCCACATTTCTATTGTGAGTGTTTTTTCATCCACAGAGTCCTTTCTATTTGGTTTTCAATTGCAAAACTTGCATATTTTGTTAAATAGTTTACTGCTGTTAAACCAACAAAAATTGGTCACTGCAGGTTTACACCCGAAATTGAAACTCGATCTAACATCATTCATTTTCCACGAAATATCAAGCAAACAATAAAATTTAAAACATATTGTGTTGAAAGACGCATGAAATTTAAGTTTGAATATGAAATTGCAACTGCAGAAACATTTCTAAAATTTTTACTAACGTCCTTTGATTCGCAAGCTTATCGATGAGCAAATGTTGCAGAACGCATAGATTTATTTTTAGTAGAAAACCATTTACATTCAGCATTTCAATGCGAGTGTGGGACATAAACCTTCAAGTCCTTACCATAAAATCAATGCACATTAATCAGGAAAATGTTATTTAAATTTCGCCCTTGTCAGGTGTTTTGCGGTTTATTGTGCATTTAAAATAGGTTTCTTCTAGTGTTCTTTGAAGTCGGTAACGAATGACTGCAATTCTAAGTATAGCGTAGAAATGGCTCGCCCTGTATGTGAGATGACCTAATAGTAGACATGACTCGAATTTGGAATTAAATGATCGTCTGACCTGCATTCCGGGAGTTAATTCAAGGAATTATTCTGCATTTAAAATTCCTTTTGCTACTATATGGTCCTCTGACCATCTGAATCTTTAAAACAAACATCTGGTTACAAACAGTTGGTTGGTATTTCTTGAAAACAATTATCCAAATCAACTTTCAACATATTTCCAACTGAAAAAAAGCTGCAACGCTTTTGGACGTTAAATGAAGCAAATTTATTTTTAATAAAATTAGACACAACTCTGTTAAAAAGTATCACTCGTCGGTCGTGTAATTATTTTAACTAGTAATTTATAGGTGATAATGATTGAAGCTTTATTTAGGACGGAAATTAATTTAGTAACAACTTTAGTGCGACGGAAACTGTTACATCAACTTTAATAAAATCCAGCAAAAATAGCACAGTGGAACCAATAAGTATTTTTATTGCGCTTTAGTTGCTCCACTTAAACATAGATTTACTTCGAATCATAAATCACCCATTGGCAGGATGCCAAAAATTTATTGATTGAACTGCCTTAAAATAAAGCCTTTTATTGTTCAGAAAAGTGTGCAAAAACATTTCTTCAAAAGTTTCATTACTATACGAGTGGGTTTTCGAAGAACAATGGAAGCAAACATTTAAACCTGCTACAGTTTAACACATGAATTTGAAGAATAAATTTGTTCAGATGAAGCTGATGGAATCCCCTTTGAAGAACGAATCCAAGAACCCAACATTCTGATAGTAAGAAGCATCAATCCATGCTTAGAAGATAACGGAATCAATCACAGAACCTCCAAATATGAACCGATGAGAAGAGATTACTTTGCGCAATTAGTGGTGCGGCGTGGACAGCATTTCAAACTAAACATCACCTTAAGTAGACCGTACGATGAACAAAAGGATGGAATTTCATTTATTTTTGTTGTTGAAGGTAACAACACAGAACAGTTTTTAGCGTTTCGCTAAATTTGAAACAATTTCAATTCTAGATGAACCCAAACCATCTCATGGCAATGGAACAATGGTGGCAATTCCATTATTGCGCAAACCTGATCGGCATCTTCGTTGGAATGTGGTTTTGCATTCTTCTGATGGCAATGTTATCACTGTTAACGTGCTAACTCCTCCGGATACTATCGTGGCCAAATGGAAAATGGACGTGGATACTCGAATTCTCAATGGAGGCTCTTATTGCTACAGCTGGGATACTAACATCTACATTCTGTTTAATCCTTGGCAAGCAGAAGCAAATGGATCAATTGATAAGGGAGAATAATGTTTTTATGCCCAATAGGAGCAAAACCGACCAAGTTTTTATGAAGTCCGAAGAATGGAGGGAGGAATCAGTGATGAATGATGTTGGCATAGTATACAGAGGCACCTACAACCGGATAAAGCCAGTGGTGTGGAAATACGACCAATTTGAAAAGGATATTCTGGACTGTTCGCTTTATCTGGTTCATGTGGTGGGCAAAGTGAAAAGCCACTACCGGTAAAAAATATGACACCCACAAAAAAATGTAATTAATTTTTCAATTCATTTCCAGATCAGATCCAGTGAAAATCGCACGAGCACTGGCAGCAGCAATAAATTCTTCGGATGATGAAGGTGCGGTTCAAGGCAATTGGGACACGAATCACAGTGGAGGCACCGCCCCAACCAAATGGATTGGAAGCAAGGAAATTCTCCAAAAATATTACAAAACGAAAAAGCCAGTGAAATATGGCCAGTGTTGGGTGTTTTCCGGCGTACTCACAACAGGCAAGTTCCAATTTATCTCCGAACAGCCACATAAATCATTACACCATTCATTAAACACCTACAAATGAATACCAATTTTGTTACGATATTTAAAATGCTACTGCAACGATCGACCTTGGATAAACCATTTATTTTGCTTGCTACCGACAGTGAATTTAATAAGGCAGTTTATATGAACCATGCAGATGAGCATTTCAATTGTATTCCGCTTGTTTTTATGACCAAAATCCGAAGTATCAATTTAAAAAAAATAAATTGCGTAGTTTGTAGAGCTTTGGGGATCCCAGCAAGAACCATCACCAACTACTCTTCAGCACATGACACCGAAAGCTCCCTCACTGTGGATTATTACATAGATGAGAAAGGGTCGATTATTGAAAGCAGTGACTCCATATGGAACTTCCATGTGTGGAACGAGGTGTGGATGACCAGGCCTGATTTAGGTCGCGAATACTCGGGCTGGCAAGCAATCGATGCCACCCCACAAGAGATGAGCGAGGACATTTACAGGTAGGAAAAACATGAAAAAATGAGCTTCAAATTTTTGACTTAATGTCCTCAAGATGTGGCCCATCAGCGGTAGTAGCTGTAAAGGAAGGCGAGGTGTTAAGGCCGTATGACACCAGTTTCCTCTTCGCCGAAGTGAATGCTGATAAGGTAATCTTCAGTGGCTTATCAGAAATAATAATGTCCACACTTGCATCCGCGATGCCCTAGATTTTTTGGAGAGTCAATCTCATCAATGGGCGCGTTCAACCAATCAAACTGCTGAGGAAAGACACCTACGGAATAGGAAAGCTTATTCTTACCAAAGCCCCTGGACTACTCGAAAAGGAGGACATAACATCCAATTATAAGCATTTTGAGAAATCCCCTGAGGAAAGATCCACCATGTTGAAAGCCTTGCGGCAGTCTGAAAGCATATTTTCACGGTGTGTGTGTTGTTTTTTTCCCAGCATATTCAACTGACTTCATTTAAAACCTTCCAGCTACTACCTTAATGAAGATTTCAATGACATTTACTTCCACATGAACCTGCTGGACCAAGCAAAAATCGGCGAACCTTTTGATGTTTCATTAACAATGCGGAACAGATCAATGACAAAGAATCATCCAGTCTCAGTGATTCTTCGCGTGGATGCCGTGACTTATCAAGGAAAATTCGTTGCTGCTGTTAAATCAGAGCATTTTAAAGTGAATGTTAAGCCCGAATCCACTCATGAGGTCAAACTGACTGTGACTTACGAGGAATATTCGAGAATTAAAGTCGACCAGAGTGCCTTTAACATCTCCTGTTTGGCCTCCATTGAGGAGACCAAGTTTGAATATTATGCCCAGGATGACTTCAGGTGAGGTTTAATTTTGCTAGTTGAGACTCTTCAAACCTAAGGGTTTTTTATAGAGTGCGGAAGCCTGATATTAAAATAGTTCTTCGAGAAACCGCGGTTGAAACAGTACCAATCACAGCCGATTTGTGGGTTGAAAATCCTTTGCCAGTGCCGTTGAGAAAAGGAGAATTCACAATTGAAGCCCCTGGACTGGAGAGAAAAATCAAATTGAAGGTGAAAACAGTGGGGCCTGGAGAGAAGGCTGCAGGTAATTTTCTTTTAGCTGTTTAAACATTTCCCTCCACATTTTTTTGGTTGAAGGCGAATTCAGTTTTACGCCCCCGACCAGTGGAGTGTTTACAGTGGCAGCTAAATTCGTTTCAAGAGAAATGGACGACGTCGATGGTCACCTAGAAATATTGGTGGAGCCTAAAAAAGAGCAACCTAATACTTAGGTAAAGGTTTAGCTATTCACGTATAATAGAGCCATAAAACTACTAAACCGAACTGATTATTTATTTGTTACTTTTATAGTATTATTATTTGAATGTATTTTTGCACAAAATAAAAATCTAATCATGACAAAGTGTTTTAATGTCTACCAGGTAAGTAGTGAAGACGAAGGTGAACAGATATCTTACATTTTTCTAAACAGGCTCGGCTGAATGATAAATTTCATCAAAGTCCTAATTATATTGGCCGTTTTCAGGCTTTGATGAGTTCGTTTTCCATTCCCTTGAAGCTCAATTTCACACCAATATTTCGCCTTTTACATGAGCTTCAAGGGAAATTTTATCTGCCTACTTTCTAGTTAACTTCTCGTAACTTAACAAACTTAAACGTAACATTGTTAGTGCGACCTAATCTAATCATACTCTTAGCTATGTATCACAAATTTTGTATTTGAAGCTTCGACAGCGTTTCATTGGTAATTTTATGAGTAAAACCGTGCACTAATTTGAACAAAAGATGCAATAAATTAATTAATATTAAGCAGCAGCAAGGCTTCTAGTTGATATTTTTTGGACATCTCATGCAGTTGGATTATCGGACATTTCTGATGAAGTGGAGATATTTGGACGTACCAGTTTTTGAACTGGGACGTCTTACCGCTGCTGTAACAAAGTGAGTGATTAGCTGAGTGAAAGTATGTGTTTTTTGTAAAACTGTGTCAAAAATTTGTTTAAACGAGAACAGAAAAATAATAGCTCCAATAAGTTGATAAGTGATTTGTCCTGCAAATAGCCCACATGTGCAATAGCCCACTCTTTAGGTGGTGGCCGAAGTCGATGAAAGGAGAAAGAAGTTTTGCAATGGTTCAGGCAAAAGTCTATTTCACAAGCAAGGAAGTGTCAGTACAAGTATAATGCAAGTTCAAACTTCCTTCCTGCACAAATTGCATAATTTCAGACATAAACATTTGCTATTAATTCACTCTTATGATTGATATTAACGTGTTTGGATGTTCCAAACCAGTGTCTTCTAAGGCTTTGCTTGCCTAAGTGAATTGGGTTGGAAGACAATGTTGGCCAGACACCCAGAGCGATCTGTGCGGCCTATACTGCACTTTCTGGCAAAGAGGCCAAAAAACTTCAGATCAGACACATTTTTCGTCCACGCATGTTAAGATAACTCCTTTATATTTTAAGGCATTATTTGCATGCAAACGTTCACAAATAGCTGAAAAGTTAAGTTTATCTTTACGACGTTTATTCACAGGATTAGTTTACTAATCTCAATCTCGTCACAGCGTTGCCTCCAGTTAAGGAATATTGAAACATTATTGAATATGTAAAGTGAGTAATGAATAAAATAGAGAATTAGAACTCCTATTTGTAAATACCTTCCAGTGAAAAATCGGTGTGCAATTATTAGCAGTATTAATATACCCTTTAGGGCAACGCACACTTAGAAGGGTTCCTTGCTTCGGCCTAAGCTTTAACTGGATGAATTCCTGGTAGGTTACAAATGTGGCGGAGATCGAGGAAAAAATCAACACTTGCAGGACGAAAGCTAAGAAAACTACTTGGGAGACTTGAACACTAGCCATTCTTCCCGGAGATCACTAGAACTGGTTCAGGCGATTAGACACTATATGACTGAGCTTTATAGTACCTATTATGTAGGTATATAGCAAGATGATGATGATGGATCAGTTTCGTTTATTATGTGTGTGTAGTGTAATAAAGTCAATATCATCTGCAGTGGTGGAAATTCAGGTGGAAATTCTGATCTAAAGGTCAATAGCTTTAGAAATGACTGTACTGTTGTAAACCAGAATATTGGCAAAAGTTTGGAGAAGTTGTCAGATCGAGAGGATTGTTGGAAAGCAATTCCTGCATTTGTTCCCTCCATACACTAGAGCCTCAGAAATTTGAGGAAAAAATAATCTAAAAATTATTGTTTTTTGTGCTACCATTTTAATTATGAAAAAACCTGCTTTTGTTCAAATAAAATGCAACATGTACAAAAACTAACCTTGCCAGTCACCCACTTAAAGATCTTGAAGCACATCCCGTTTGAGTAAATGTGCTCACTATTGCAAGACGTAATGCTCAATTCTCCTTTTTTCGGCTTGTGTTTGATAAACTGTGGATAACTGATAAATCGGCCGTGAACCGCTGTATAAACGCACATTTCCAGTATAAGAATAAGACAAATTGCCGTGAAAAACTTCGCACCCACTGCCATTGTTCATGTAAATTTAACTGAAACTTCTGTTGATGTTTCAACACAATACCGAAAAATATTTGTTAGTTTAAAGATTTTATACCTAAATGTATACTCGGGTATACGCGTTGTGGTGCATCTGTCTGTCTTTTATTGTGTTTGCTTAATAAAGTAAATATATTTATACAGAGTGATGCTGCATCGATCGGAAATTGGGGTTTTAATGAGAATTCGCTCTTTTACTCGAAACGTCAGCAAATGTGTAGGTTTTTAAATTTGTATGGGGTCAAGGAAAAAGTCTTGAAAATGGGTCTTGTTGGCAGCTTGAAGAAACTGAGCCTGATCTCTTCAGTAACATCTACAGAAAAACTTTTTTTATCAGCAAATTCTCAGAAAGTTGGGCAGAATTAATTAGTTGGTCAGATGTAAGGCGGAAAATCTGATAACAACAAAACAAGAAAATAATGAAACTAAACATTTCATTGGGGATTTAAACATTCACGACAATTGGGAATAATGCAAAATACACTTTACGCTTCCAGTTTTCTAAAAATGGTCTGAAGTCGACACATAAACTGAAGGTTTTTTAAGCCTCTATAAGAGCAAATAACAAGCAACGTGTGATCTTTTCTCAAGTTGATAAGAAAAGTGGAAACCAATTTCTTATTTTGCGGCCGCTCCTTGGTAGATGCATCCTGTACAAAATTGAACTGAAAAGAAATCTGGTATCCATTTATCACGTATATTTGCGTAGAGCCAGAAGGCATTGAATATTCTAATAAATCTGTAAGGATGTTTATTTTCACTTTGTTAGTCAAATGATCAAGTTAAAATTATATCGGTTTGCTTAAAAAATTTTCAACTTGACGTGAACAATTTGTTGCGGGAATTATGCCGTCATTTGGAATCTCCCTGTTGAAATTGACGTCTCAATACTCAATATATCCTTTTTTGGGTCATTAATTAATTAAACTTGGGTTTTCATGATTTTCTTGCATCTTTAAGGCAAAAGCTAAGTTGGAGATTCCCTGATCATTTTTGCATGAAATTAATATTTTGTGGTTTATCCTGCGTGAATTGTATGTTATTTTATATTTTAACACAGTTTGTTTTATATAATTTTTATCAGGGCAAAAAATGAACCACTACTCAAGACTGACGAACTGAAATTAGGAATTTTGAGAATTGTTTCTCACCGCTGATAGGTAAATTATGTGCGCCACTTTAGCCGCTTGTATAACTGTAGGTATTACTCAGCAATATTTTTGCGATAGTATCATAATGATAAGGGCGGTATTTCCGCATTCATACTTGATATATTTCTGGATTGAACATCTGTGGCAATTTTTTTAGCATTAAAAATGTTACAAACCTTGCATCCAAAAATACGAATACATCGTCCCGCTTTGTATAGGTAACACTCGGCACAGTTCTGGCTGTAAAAAAGATGTCCCTGTTTGGTTTCATCAGCTTTCAAGAAGCTCGTGTAGTTCATAAATGTACAATGCACATAATCCAGAAGTAAAATTCCCAGTAGTAGAACTACCAACCACACTTGAGCTTTTTTCATAGTTTCACTAGCCTTGGCAGGAGTTTCTCTACAGTTGCATTTCACCTGATTTGTACTTTGTTTTAATTTAATTGTACTAGGGATCGGTTCAGATAAAAGCTCGAACACGACTAGGTACGTATTTACTTTATTGTTCGCTATCAGCTATAATGTTTGCTGACACGGCACACACTTATACAGGTGATTAAACTGGTAATAATCGCTTTTTAAATATGTTACTAATTTAAGGTGGCAAGACAATTTCTCCGGGTCATTGTTACTGGGAAAACTGAAATTATTTTCATTTATTAGTCCAGTGGGGCAATTTCAACACATCATGAAGTCAAATACTGCATCAACTTAAGACCAGAGATTATTTTTGGAAAATGACGAATATAAGTTAGGAAAAACAGATTAATGTTATCTTATTAGATAACGCCAAAGTTTTCTACGAAATTGCTCGAAAATTACACCTAAACTAAAATTAATGTTTCTCCTTGCGCAAAAAGCCTTGATTGATATTGCCGTAAAATCAGATTGGCTGGACATGCACATAAAGTGTTTGAGAAGACAACGGTTTTGTTGGCTGAAGTCGCCAGATGAATAACCAAACAAATGAGTCAACAATTGAAAAACGTGGTTTTCAATGAGCTCCTGAGGATTCCGGTAATTCGAGGCATTTTAAGGGAATCGAGTTTTGGAAACATTGTAAACAAGACCTTTGTCCAGAAAATCTCCCTTCTCCAGATATATTTTAAGAGCTTTCAACCTCAGAAGCTCCTCTATATGCATAGGAATTTAGAGCGCTTGAGTTTACAAAAAAAATATATCAAGTGCGTTTTTCGGGTCTTTATGGCGTTGTGTAGAAAAATTTCTCTCAAACTCACCAATAGCCGCAAAATCCTAATGGTTTTAAGGATAAGGGTTTAATAAATCGTGGCTTACAGATCTTGACCGCTCAAAAAACGCTTAAACTGTGTCCGCCCAAGATGATAAATACAAACAAATTTTTCAAAAGATTTTGGCTGCGTTCTGGTGAAAGTTTCAACTGCATGTAAATTTAGGATTGTATTTGGATGCCTGTAGAACTATATTTAACTGTACAAAGGTTGCAAATCCCCGCCTTTGAATGTTGTTCGAAAAAGATGGAAGAATCATATTTGGATAGTTTTGCATCACCACCATAACTTCAATGATGGACTTGCAACAATTGAATCCTACAAAAAATACTTTTTCTTCCATTTTAATTATTTTTAGTTAATGTTTGTTTATTTATTCACTTAGTTTCAAGTTTTTGAGGTTTTTCAAATTCACTTTATGAAGAGTACTTTATCAAGCAATCCCATCTTTAGTAATGATAATAAGAAATTCTTAAGAAAACGGCCAACAGCCATGTATTAAATTTAAATGTCATTATTCCATTAGCGGCCATTACATTTAAATGTTATTATATTGCGAAATCATAAAAAATTTCAAATAAATAGCTGAAAATTATTTAAAAAGTTTCCGGGAAATACAGTCCAAATATGCTTGAAACCGACAAAACCCAAGTAATCATCAGCTCTGAATTAACTTCAATTTCCATGAATCATGCAGCAACTTCTGCTTAAGTTTCTACTTGCACTTTTGGTCTTACAATTTAGGCTTTCAGTTGGGTACAAATTTATTTATTGCCTTTAAAAGTACACTAATTCAAGAAATACCAAATGCGTAAACGTTGAATTCGCTTAAAAAGTTTTAATATTTAAAGAACTCTAATTGAAGAAGCTTCGGTTTGGATCTGATAGGAATTCTTGTTATTTGATTTCAATTCAAACAATTTGTCCTCTATTCTGAAGAATTTCTGCGTTTTTCCATCACTATCTTGAGTTCCAATGTTTGAAATATGAGTATAAAATATTTTGCTTTAACAGGATTTTTGCTGCAAAATACAACTTTTTCTAATGTTGACTATTCAAATTTCCAGAGGTTCCCAGAGCCACTGTCCAAAATAGAGCAAACTTAAAAAAAAATTGAATTGCTAATGGAATCCCCAAAATCCAAAAAATATCTGGTTGCTCTGAACAAATCTGATCACCAAACACTTTGAGACTGGGAAGCCAAACACAAATATCAAGATCAGATTCATTTTAATATCGATTAAAAATTAATTTAACTTACTAAATAATCAAACACATTGCCCAGCAGGACAATGAAAAAAATGTGTGCTTAATACCTTCTGTTAAGGTCCGAACACTTTCCTGCAGCTATTCCTGATATACTTGTAACCCTCATTGCAATTTTTCACGGAAATAATGTTCCCTTGTTTGGCGACATTCGGCGTGGTTATAAACTCCACATAATGAATGTATTTTGTGTGGGTCACTTGCACTTGAGAAAACGCACAAATTAACAAAAAAGACAAAAATACAGTTGAATGCAAATGCATGGTTTGTTTGGCGTTTCACGAAATTAGTGTTGGAATTGGTCCACCGTGAAGAGGTCGTTTGTAGCGAGGAGAATCATTATCTTTTTTTTTGGATGCTGAATGCTGCAATGTTGCCGTGCTGATTTCACAAGAAGTTTTTTGAGAATGTTTCGAGTGTTTGGTGTTAGCTCTAGCTGGTGCTGGTGATGGGACTGATTTAATACAAAGTGCGATTGAAGAAAATTCCACTTGGGCAGAGCTTCATCTGGCTGGACTAGAAAAAGTGTTAATGCAGGGGAAATTTGTTACAAACCGTCAACTGTGTACGATGTTGTGTAATAAAACGTTCTTGAGCAAAACAATAACAGTCCGGGAAACCATTAAAATGATAATGTAATTTTATAATTTCAAATCTTCAGCAAGAATGTAGGAAATTTAGGTGCTGTTGGCACTCAGTCAGCTTTAGATTTATTTACATTGGAAAACACATGCCATTTTCTTAGGTCCTTTTCGTGTTTTCGGTGCGTGTGATGAAACAAAACGAAAATTATTCAAAAAAGCTGATGGTCAACAGATGCAAATATTTTGTCCCATGCAACTGAAGAACCAATGCCTGGTTAAATAATAGATGCTGGGACAGCGACTGAAACATTCAGGCCACACATTATCAGAAGCCAACAGGTTATCGGAGTAAAGTAGTATCAGATAACAGTGCTTTAGTACTCTTCAGAGCAAATTACAAAGTACGAAAATTGGATGATTCAAGGAAAAACGTGGACAGAATACTGACCTCCGGGTTTAATTTGAAAATTGGCTTGCAGACTCCTGGAAACAACTGCATCGAGCCTCCGGGACAGTTTTGTTTAGCCTTCAAAATATTGGCTGGTAACGTATTGTGATTGTGCACTCGATTTTCTCTACTAAACTGTTCGTAGGTCACAAAATCTGCACGCGATGTTACAACCAATAACAACACTGACACTATCCACCAAATGCTCCTGCCAACCATGGCAAAGAGATTTTCGAAAATCTAGCGAAATATTATCATCGATTCAACAGGAATTCAAGAGCAATAATTGGAAACGATTTTATGGTTCTAAACTTAGGTAGGCATTTGATTAAATGATTGCTTATCAGCTCAGTCTATGTGAGTTTTTATTACGCGAGGAAAGCCTGAGTTTTCGATATGTTTACGCGGAAAAGTGCCATCAGGAACTAAAACGGTTGATTATCTATAGTAGGTGATTCCTCTACTCACTTATGGTTTGACTAGAATAACTATGTAATTGTTTATCTTTTTTGCAACTTTATATTTTCGTTTGTGAAAACTTTCAAATTAAGGGCAACATTTCTTATCAACTTGGTTACGATTTTACAGCACAATGATGATTCTTGAATGAGCGTTTAGGGACAATTTTCAATTGGGAGTCAAGTTTGAAGTACCTACTGAAGATTATTTCGCGGAAGTTTGCAGTATTTTTCGCTTTTGAAGTGTTCCTTACTTGCTTTGTAAAACTTTTTTTTCTGTTCAATTTCAATGTATTCTGGATCTTCAGAAATTTTCAATTCTCCAAATTTATTTCAAATATTCAATTTTGCAAATTTTCAATGGCATGTTTCTTCATTCTATTCTCTACTGGAACTGGAATTTCCCATTTTCAGTTAAAACTATTGATTATGATTTTTTGAGAAATCATTTGATTATTTGCTTAGAACTTCATTTATTGCAAATCTTAAAAATTATACTTCTTTAAAAAAAAATTCCGAATTTGCACAATTTCAAGGAAATAGCTTTCTTCGAACACCTTAGTTCTGCATATATTTTTTAATTAATTATTTTCTGCTCGAWTAACATTTGATCAATTTTCAACCTTTATGGGCAATTACTGTGCAGGTTGGTTTTAAGTTCAACAAATGTTTCAAAAGGTTCCAAATTTMAAAAATTCGTAAACTTTGTAGAAGTTGTTTCAGTGAACTGAATAATTTTCTCGSTRATACGTATTTCCTTCTGCCACAATAAAAAAATCYCTAASATTTCCTGCTSTTTTCCATTTTASCGCTTAAAGTCGAATCTATTTTCATCCAAGTCTAGCTCTATGTGAAAAATCAATATTAAAAATTTCAGATAAAAATTATTTATGACTGAAAGTTTTGCGAAGTGAAGCAATTTTACTTAAAAATTGTTGGTGAGCCACAAGCGCAAATAAGTGAATGTTTGCCCTGACATGATATTTGGCAATTACCTATTTACATTTATGGACTTACCTAAAACCCATGGCTAATTGAATTTTCGGAAACATTTCCCGTTAAAAAGCACATATCCAGCCTTGCACTGGACGCTACCAAATATGTTCCTGCTGCCCAAAGCCGCCGCCCCTTTCGCAGGATTCTTCAGCGATGTTTCCAGCAATTTCTGACTTTTGTCAGACGGCGGCTGATTTTTAGCCCAGGTAGACATCAGAATCAGGAGAAAAAATAGAAAAGCTGCACGTTTCATCCCGATGTAACTGTTTTTCAATTATAGCGCAAATCCTAATTTGCATTCAATAAGATTATAACTGACTATAAAACGCGTCATTTTACTGATAAGAGCTAACCAGTGTTTGAATAAGACAATTAAACGGCGTTTTATCGCTTCTAGTTGGTAAGCAAACTTTGCAAAGTCCTGAAAATTCAAAGTCGTTTAACAAAATTAACCAGCGCAGACTTGTCTCAGACTCCATTTTTTTTATTGAAGCAATTAACAGAGAAGGTGCAAAAAAACTTCAAGCCATAAATGAAAAGTTACGGTTTAAGTCTCATGGTTTTAAAGCGAAACAATTTGATACAGAAGACATAAGGACGCTCCCAAAAAACGACAGCAATTTAAAATTAAAAAGTTTAAAAAACAGACGGAAAACTTAGAAAAAGCCCTCTCTGCGGGCCTTCGCCAAGCTTTTAAAGCTTAACTAAAACATCAGATTGCGTTTCCCGTTCTCCGTTCTAATGCGGCTGCGATCACCAGATGGAGCGGCAGGTTTCATTTAAGTTAAAAATTCACTTTTACCTGATTTTAGCCCAGAACTGGTTCCTGCTGCAAAACCAAAGCGAAATTGTGTGCATGTTTTTAAATTCCGCTTTGGTACCATTCATTTTTGCTGCTATTGGCGGTTGCAAACTGAAATCTAAGTTTCACTTGCTGGAATGAAACAATTTTCAATTTGGTTCGATTTCAGCTCATTACTCTTAGCGCATTGCCGACGAAGAAAAGAAGAAGAAAGTACCCGAGCGGTACTCGCTTAATTACAGGGCCGGCTCGCCTCATAATGAATTAGGTGGCGGAATTGCCGTCTCTCATCTTGAGCCCGATAAGCTCTTAAATCGTTTAGACTGCCTCGGATGGTACCATTAGCTTAAACGTATTTCGGATTTTTCCAAATGGGTTTTTCGGTTTTTTCTTTGTAAATTGAATTATCGGTGGGTGCCCCGCAAATGGCGCATCAGATTTCAACAGGTTCCATTATGCAATTAGTATAAGTTTCCCGAAGGCTTTGCCATTTTCTGGCTGCACAAAACACCACTCAACTCTAATTAGTGTTTTCTAGTCATTATCCGTTCTTTTGGTTACTCATTACTTGCCGGGGGTTTTTGTAGAAATTCAATTAAAAACTTAAGTGCCTACAAAAGACGGTTCTCATTATGGACGCTTAAAAGCTCGTAAACGCTGTTCACTTCTCTTACGCTGACGAATAATAACATAAAAGTATGGTTCATAAAAAAATATATACAGTGCAGGGCAGAGCAGGAGGTGGATTTAAGAAAAATGCCAAAAACCCAGCTGAACTTAGCTTACAGACTTGCTTAAATCCGGAAAATCCTTAAAAAACAGGGTTTGATCAATTTTTGAATCTAAAAATGTCGCCATCAAAAGTACTTGGAATGATCTGAATGGAAAATAAAAACTAATTCCCAAACAAAAATTAGGGTTTTTTGTCCCGATCTCTGCCTCAATTTTCCGTTCCTCACACTCTTTTTTGGCATCATCTGATTTGATCATAAAATTACAAAAGATTCAAAAACTTCACAAACACCTTTTTGTGACCCAAACTTTGAAATTAAAAAAGAAATGGTGTCTGTTAGAAAATGTTAAATACAAAAACGTATCGCCACATTGTTAAAATTAATTAACATGTTCGGGCTACACACAATAAACTAACTGTTGTAAATAATTTCATAAACTTATTGAGCAACTTAGTTTTCCACTACTTTACGGTTAAAAATTGTTATAATTTTCTAGTCCTTTTTAATAGCTTTGTTGTGCCCAAACCCATTATGATATTTTTAATTGTTCTGAAGTTCTGATTAACGTTGCAGTATATTAAATTTTATAAATTCTCCAACGAGCTTTTTGCTGTTAAGTGCACATTTTTTGCTGACAAGTTTCTTTCTATTCTATTCTATTCAATATTTCCATTTTATAAACAATAGTTTTCCTTTGGAAACCTACAAAAGGGGCACTAATTCTGCTCTAAGCACGCCTAGAAACTGAAGACTTCCATTCTGTCTTCATCTTCTGGTATTCGTGGACTCATGATAACTTCGCATCATTTTGTTCAAGCAAACAGCAGAAAAATGAAATTTATTTTAACGCCTACTATATCAAATATCTTGCTGCTTAATAACTTGCTCCGCCTCTGAGTATGAGCCAGAGCTTTTTCCCAACATCAGTAACAGCCAGTGTGAGCTTAAATCAAAATGAAAGAATTCGATAAGCTTCCACTGAGTCATTTCACAAGCAGTTTAAGATGAGTGTTACTTACACACTGCATAATTGATTATGCACCACGTAATTATCGACTTCTTCGGAATGCTCAAAACGTTCCTCTGATGAGTTAGTAGTAAGGCTTCAGAATGATCCTTTGGAACGGATTGAGGGCTTGAAAAATGACCAAGTCTGCAAGAACAAACGGAAAATAATTAGCAAAAGTCCTCTACTGAGAGAATTATTGGGCTGAACTAATTAAAGTGTTGAGTTCTGGTAAATTTGGAATACCAAGAAAAATGTTAATCGCCTTATATTGAAATCTTGCTACTAAAAGACAGGCAACGTGTTAACAAGACAAGTTGGAGGATTAGGTTTTGCAGGTAAGTTTGATTTTTCAACGARMGATTTATGCAGAAGGTAATCAGTGTCAGCGGATCTTTCGCTGTKGCGGTTTTTGGTTTATTTTGGCTGTCATCGTGTTTAGTGCAAGGTTTTACAGAASAGTCAGAAACACTGTTTTTTTTGCTAAAAATTATTAGTCTTTTTTTGTTTATTTACTTTATATCATTAACTTTTCTTCGGTATTTTGCTTGCTCTATGGGGGGTTGAAAATTCAATATCAGACACTTGGGGGAACGAAAATCTCATTGTAAACTTTTGTGAATTGTAGACGCACGGAAAACGTATTTTGTGATCGAGGCAAGAATTGCACGGTGAATAATATGACCCGAAAATTATACAAATGAACAATAAAGTGCCTATAGGCAGAACTGGAATATACATGAAGAATATTTATATCTAACAACTTAGTCCAGGAAGCAAAAAAAAATTAAAATCAACTGTAAACCTAAGAAACATCAGCATTATCCAGATTTTTTATTTGCTCTTTTACCAGCCTTCATTATTTTTAATCCATGTGGATTTTATGGAAGACTGCAACAGGTTTCAAATAACAATGTTTATTACTCACCCTCATTTTATAATTAGCAAGCCTTTTTGGAGAAAACTGTCAACATTTTCTTACCGGTGGTTGACTTTCTAAAAAGGCCATTTAGTTCCCTCTGAAATGATGTAAAAATGAGCGTTCTTGCTCCTTTTGCTTCCGAGAAATGATGAAAAATAAAACGAAAAACATAAAATTTTGGCGTAATCTTGCACCTAAGTGTCTGATATTCAAATTTCGCTTTCTGGGTGAAAACGACTATAATTTCCTAGCTCATCTTGTTATGACTGAATCAAATTTTCAATTATCTATCCAACGATGCCAAAAGGAATTCTGTGGCTCAAATGGGACTTGAGAAACTTTGAAAAAAGCAGCGTCATATTTGAGTTGATTTTGCCTCGCAAAAAAGACGCGCCAAACTAAAACTTCTGGAAATCAAGACTTTTTGAGAAAGCTG